GCAATATATTAATTACATTTAGTTGCTGTCATCTGACAGCTGCCTAACTGTTTTAATATTTATCCTGGAACATAAAAGTATGTCCTACGTTTATCAAACAAAAACATCATGACACTTTCAGAGATCTGTTGCAAGAGTGGAGTTAACAAATCTAATTTTATGGGGGCCTGGAAAATAAACAAATTTAGCATGCTTGCTAATGCGGAGCTGCTGCCCTCACACAGCTAGTTTCTTTACCTACATATTTTGTATCATGGTCATCTCAGTCCTATTTTTTATTTCTTATTTCATCCAGCAAATACAAAGTACGTTCATTAAAGACTTACCGATACTCAGTATGCTAATTGAGATTTACAAGTTTTACTGAGGAATTTATGTTATTTGTAAACAAAAAAAATTTATGCTTTGTAGCAAACTAAGTACCTTTTTTGTACAAAATATTCTTAATAAAATTTCTTGTTAAATAGCCTTTACATCATAACATGGTTAAATAAAAGAAATATTTTCTACAAATTTTTAAAAGATACAATTTGTAGTTGTCACAAAATTAACGAAATTCACAGACAAAAGACAGAATGAGAATCTATATATTTATTGACCTTTTCGAAAACCTAGCTAAACACTGTTTTCCGGTACGTTACCGTTTTAGCTCTGGGGAATTACACCAAATGAAGTACATAACACAGTTACGTGATATTTCTATTTTTCTATCATTATTTAACCGTTTAAGGTAAAAAAAATGATGTTTTTGAAAATTATCAATATTTCTTTAAAATCTATTGCAAATTATTCAAAAAAATAAATTATTTATAATGAAAATCAATAAAATTCAAACAGACGTAGTGGAATCTTCCATAATAAATAAGGTTATTTTTCTGCGTAAACTTGTGTATTTATTTTATTTTTTGTATGGAATTATTCAATGACATTTAATTATTTTCTTATAAAGAAATAACTGTTTTATTTCAATTTAATTGAAAAAAGGCCGAAAACATCGCCTTCACTATTACACTCCATTAGGTGAATTCCCCAGGCGTTTAGCTAGGTTTTCGAATTCATGAATAGTGTTTTAATAGTAGGCTGAGGTGAGCCGTGCCATAGCAGCCAAGTCCACACATGCAGATTGGCATTTACTATTTAATTACAGTGAAAACCCTCAATTAAGACCACCATTGGGACTGGTCCAAAGTGGTCTTAATTGCGGGGTGGTCTTAAATGTGAATATACTTATTGCTTACATACTTTATGACCACGGTGTATTTTAGTCGTTTTGCATAAACAAACAAAATGTATCTTTACAATATGTAACATCTAATGTCATTGTGATGAGAGGTAGAAATATTTCTGAAGAAATTTAACATTAAATTCCCTTTGGTCTGATTTCAATATTGATTATCATAATTATGATGTACATAGTTCATCTATCAATAGATATTATTTCTTCACAAAATAAATTGCGCTGAAAGCAACATTATATTAAACCACTCTAAAATTAACTTTCTCACCTTATTTCATACAATAACCCATATAACAACAGTTTTTCACACCTTGTGAAATCAAGTGTCATGCCTTAGAGCATTCAAGCAGATGATAACAACAAATTTAAGAATTAGGCAGGTGTTAACTTTAATATCAGTGGTCTCAATAGTGGGGTCAGATAAAGAATAAAACAATGAATTGGGACTGAATCTGGTGGTCTTAAAAGTGGATAAGCGAGGTGGTCCTAATTCTGGATAATGGTACCATTGATATAAAGAACAGAACATTCCGTTCTTTTGAAAAATGGTCTTAATAGCGGGGTGGTCTTAAGGAGGGATTCTACTGTATTTCTAAAACTGCAACAAAATTCAGAATAACACCAATTAAAATAAAAGCATAAATACAGAAACATGTGCACACTTGATTATTTCTGGGGTTTGCTAAACTAGATTCTATTAAAATAAGTGAACAGAGGTAAAATAAACTGTATGATATTCTTGAAAATAGTGAAATATGCTAAAGCCTACCTGTAGCCTAATTAATTCGGCGTGATCGGTTTGACCCATTTTACAGACTTTTTTTTCTTACTGTCAAACCGTTACGCCTAATTTTAACTGTCATTTTTACGCACGGAAAATCTTCCGGCAACACTTTCGATAGTTTGGACTGATTTTTACTGCTTAAACCTGAAAGTAACTTCAATTACTTCTAAAGATCAATAGAATATAAATTTTAGAACTAACTTCTCCTAGAAAAAATATTAGATTGCACCTGTCTTAACGCATACATGCGATTTATTTCAAATTTTTACTGTCTACTCTATCTTCGGCGGACATGTTATGACGTCATCGTAAAAAATCGATTCCGTGAAAGCTGGTAGTAGCTACCACTGTGTCTAGCAGGTAAGTGTGGGTTACGCATGAGGATTAAATTAAACAAAATATCGGGGGAAATAAATCTATTCATTATTTTTTAATAAACGTGTGTATTATTAAATACTATTGAAAAGTATCATTGTATTTAACCTAAAATGCAATGGTCGCAAATAGGCTCCGTACAAGTACTGTTGTTTAATATTTTTAAATATTTTAATACATGTACTCAACATTATCAATTGGTGGTTTGCCTTCTTGTTTACTGCTAATGACTGCCAAATGTCACTCTCGGATAAAATACTGACTTCATTTATACATGCATATTTATATGACAATTAAGAACGTAAAAGAAATATTGAAGGAAAACTATTTGAAATACACTTCAAATTATTCAGTATTTGTACAAATAATATTTCAAGAGCTCTTTTTCACCGATTGCCGATATATAATACCATATTAAACCTATTGATAAAGTTAAATGTCTTCTTGACATACTTTATTAATTTACTAAAAAGGAACTTTATTGTGATCCAGCCATATGCTGTGTAACTATAAAGGAAGGGTCACATATTTTAATTGAAATAAATTTTAAGTAGAGGATATTAAAAAAAGTCATTGAGAAGATCAGAATTTTCAAATGAACGGATTAAGAGACTTATAAATGTATAAGTTGTATGTCTTGTTGTTTCATACTGTTTTTGGTGACACTTTTGTTTGTGTCCCTTGTGTTTTCTCGTCTATGGTAAGTTTCTTCCCTTTGCCCCTAGTTTTATTTCTTTATTTCGCCCCCTCCCCGAATTTCCTATCCCCTTCTCCTGTGCCCGTTAACTTAGTGGTCCTGTTTCATACTGTTTTGGTGACACTTTTGTTTGTGTCCCTTGTTGTTTTTTCCTCTTTGGTAAGTATCTTCCCTTTGCCCCTAGTTTTATTTCTTTATTTCGCCCCCTCCCCGAATTTCCTATCCCCTTCCCCTGTGCTCGTTAACTTTGTGGTCCTATTAATCATTCATTTATTTATTTTCTTTGATTTCCTTCTCAGTTACATTTAGTGATAAGCCTGACCGTGCTCTCCTTTGCGCCCTTTCCCGTTTTAATTTAGGATCCTACTGGGCTCCTTGCCAATGGTTCATGTTCCTGGGTCGTGTGGGGTTTGCGTTCATTGAACGCCGCCTTTCCTTGTTCATCTTGTTTATCATATTGTATACATGTATACCGAACCGTAACAAACAGATAATGATTATCAATACAAGGTTCGGCAAACAAGCAAAGAAATGTAAAGAAACAGAAAAAACTTATCCACATTCATGTATCCACCCTCCAAAAAAACCCACCAAAAACGCCTGAAACTGCAAAATCGAAACATAAATACACAGGAGTGCCAAAGACGGCTCTGGTAGGTTCAAGTGCTCCCTTTCGCCGGTTTAAACAGAATTGATCACTTAAACACAATAATGTTGAAATTTTTAATCAACATCCACAGATGTGTACATAATACGGCGGTAATCATGGAACTTTCAATGTGACACATTCGTGGTGCCGTTCAACGGGAACTAGATAACATGGAATTTTTAATGGGTATCAGAGGTTTTGGTGCCTTTTGCGACAGTCGTTCCAACATTTCTCCCATCTGTCTTACATTGTTATGCTATTCAACATCTAAATAACGGTCACTAAATTTCCGCTTGCTGTGTTTTTATCATAAACCCCGTCAAATCTGTGCGACAATTATATTTTACTGAGGACTGTCTGAAATTCCATTTTATAGTTTGAAATTTTAAGATTTTTTTTCAGAGTTTTAAAGTTATTTTTGGTTGTTTTGAACTTCTTCCCATACACAACCGTCCTCAATTTCTTTTAAAGATAATAAACTAGAAATTGATATGGAGTGTAATATAAATTGAAATTCTTCTTTGCTTCATCATGTATAGTATAATTATAATTCATTAAGATGTACCTACAATTACATTGTATTTTCGTATGTGGGAAGTCATGGCAGGGTTATAAAATAAAAAGTTAGTTCAGAAATTTCACCTAATGATCACAGATGTTAAAAAATCCAACTTAATAATATCTAATTTGACAATTTAAACGGACTTAAATGCAGTATGATCTGACATCGGACATCATAAACTATTTAATTTCTAAGTAAGGTTATCATAATTTCCTTTACACATTCTCTTTTTAATGCTGAAATATTTGTGTGTGAATAAAAGAGTTATTCCTGCAATAATTCATATAAATAACATAAACAAATTGTATAATAAAGCTTGGCAAATACAATCGATTGCCGCCGATACCTGTGTTACACCATGGATTTTACCAGTGTTTACAATTTTATCATGACACCGTTTTCCAATATGGCCGCTTTCAATAATTTTCAACGATTAAAAAAATTAAAGTGGAATATTTAGACTTCTGTTCGACTTTGAAGTATGATAATTTGGAACCTTGCATAAAAAAACGATTCTCTTTCAGGTAATGTAGACCGTTTCTTTGAAACTTTTCTAGTTTTCGCTCCCAACAACTTCTAATTGGGAAGCGTCCGTGCATAAAAATGCAGTTCGTGGTTGGACTTGGAAAAAGACAGCGCCCGTCCAAAATTATCTCGGTGTCTCTTTGACAAGTCTAATTAGTTGGACTAGCCTACCTGATGCTAAATTTCTTGAATCTCTCAGGATCAGCTTTAAACATCTCAAGCATGTTGATGCTCTTCCCATTTTTATCGAAGAATTCTTGAAGATTCTTCCACGACTGTTGAGTCTTTAACGCTGGTCGTATTGTCGATGCCATGTCTATGTTGTCAAGTCAGTTTGCAAACAGGATATAATCGAAACTTGAATCGTCGGCTACAACCTTCGTTAAACTACGACCTTCACCTTTGCCAACGTCTGATTGCATGAAATGGTAAGTAGAACAATGTTCTATATTTATCCACTAAAATAATTTTTTCACACCTTAATTTTTGCAAGCGCATTGAATAAAACTAACCATGTCAAGTTTTTTTTTCAAAAACTATTTGCTTGTGCAAACAGTATACGTCTTGGAAAGCAAATAATACAAAAAAAATAACAATTGCCCTATAATATGGTAATTGTTCGATTAATTTAGTTTTTGTTTTTAAAATGTAAAAATCAAGTAGTCTGAATCCGGAAATAGGAGGATGGAAAAAAAATCAACAAATGAAATTTGATAACTCCGACTGGTAGTTATAAAAGGTCGCATATTATAACATTAACTCAATTGTGATATATTTTAGTACAAATTCTACGATTTTATATAATGTACTTATTAACGTGGTTGGCATAGTGTATTCTTTACAGCTTTATATTCACAGTATTCGGACACTGAATATTTTGGTCAAAGTTAAAGATATATTGTAGGATGTCCTTTTACAGTTGCTGCCCAGTTTCAGTAACATTTAAAACGTGCGCCATTAAAAAAACCCAATGTTTTAAAGTTTATATAAACATAATATCTGATTTTGGGTAAGCCTGACTATGTAACGCGTAATGAAAATGGTCAGAAAATATCTCTCTTTTAAGCATTTTACTTATTATTTTTTATACTAGCAGAATATTTGTAGGTGGTGCGATAGCTCTGTTGCAATTTGCACATTTTTTTAGCAGATCAGGCATTTTAATGAATAATGAAGTCAATGTTTGTTTGTTTTCACTCGCGGTAATGACTAACATACATACTAAATCATGTGTAGCAGCCCACCGGGTCATCTAGCGTGTGTATTGATGGTTTGATCTGCACACTCTACTAGTATTCCTCAATATTTTTTCTATTTCCGTTGCCGATAGCTGTCAAAAAAATGCCTAAACGTAAAATAAATGAATTCTTTTTGGTATTCACGAATTCGAAAACCTAGCTAAACGCCGTTTTCCGGTACCTTCTGTACATAGCTCTGGGGAATTCACCAAAAGGAGTGTTATAGTGAACTCAATGTTTTCGGCCTTTTTTTAAATTAAACTGAAATAAAACACTTATTTCTTTATAAAAAAATAATTAAATATAATTGTATGAATAATTCCATACAAAAAATAAAGTAAATACACAAGTTTACGCAGAAAATAACCTTATTTATTATGGAACATTCCACTACGTCTGTTTGATTTTTATTGATTTTCATTATAAACAATTTATTTTTTTGAATAATTTGCAATAGATATTAAACGAATATTGATAATTTTCAAAAAACATCAATTTTTTCACCTTAAACGGTTAAATAATGATAGAAAAATAGACATATCTCGTAACTGTGTTATGTACTTCATTTGGTGTAATTCCCCAGAGCTAAAATGGTATCGTACCGGAAAATGGTGTTTAGCTAGGTTTTCGAAAAGGTCAATACATGTCATATTGTTAGGTATATGCATCTCCAAATCCCCCACATTATTAGTTAAGTGGGGGACAATCACCCATAATTTTTAAATTCTAGATGCAACACTGCAGTTGGTTACACCACTGACTCTCACTGCTGAGGTCCCGGTTTCTATCCTGGGCAAAAACCCTTGGGATTTTTCAGAGACACTTTCAGTGTTTCCCATCTACCTAGAGGTGTAGTAGTGTACTGGTAAAAATTCAAGGTAATCCTCGCATGTATCAGTGCCATACACTGGGCATGTATAAGACCTAAGGGGTTACCGTCTATTCAATAAGAGCTAGGGACTGGTTTCTGGATTCCCTTCTATCTAATACATTGTGTAGCTATCTCAGGAGGAGTTTGACATTAATGGAAATGGATGGATGGATGGATGGATGGATGGATGATGGATGGATGGATGGATGATCTAGTTTTCTGAACAAAAGTTAAATTTGAAATAATTTTTAAGCGTACATCATTAAAAATGCCATAATTTCATGCCTACTTAAGTCTTTCAGAGACACTTCTTATTGGGGGGGGGGTCATTCATAGATAGAGCTGTAATGGTTTACCAGTACTGTACACTGATATATTGCAATATAGAAAAATAAATATTGCACAGCTATTCACATTTAGTTTTACTGTTTTTAGCTCGACTATTCAAAGAATATGAGAGCTATTGTAGTCGCCCCGGCGTCGGCGTCCGCGTCGGTGTCTGCGTTGGTTAAAGTTTTTTGTAAATTCAAATATCTCAATTATTACTCGAGATATTCAATTGAAACTTACAATACTTATTTATAGTAACAAGGTACATCAGATTGACAAGTTGGATAACTCTGCCTACAATATTGACAGAATTATGCCCCTTTTTAACTTAGAAATTTTGGTTAAAGTTTTTTGTAAAGTCAAATATCTCAATTATTGCTTGAGATATTCAATTGAAACTTACAATACTTATTTATAGTAACAAGGTACATCAGATTGACAAGTTGGATAACTCTGCCTACAATATTGACAGAATAATGTCCCTTTTTAACTTAGAAATTTTGGTTAAAGTTTTTTGTAAAGTCAAATATCTCAATTATTGCTTGAGATAATCAATTGAAATTTAAAATACTTATTATAGTAACAATGTACATCAGTTTGCAAAATTGCACAACTCTGTCTGCAATATTTGCAGAATTATTTGCCCTTTTGAAACTTAGAAATTTTGGTTAAAGGTTAACGGTCTTCAAAGATATTTACTTGAAACTTTACACATGCACTTAGGGTCATAATTGGAGGGTCATAATTGTATGTCACTGACCAAGTTCCATAACTCTATCTTGCATTAAGGCTGATTCATATCCCCTTTTCTACTTAGTTTCTTGGTTAATGTTTACATGCAAGTTTTACATATCTCAATAACTATTAAAGATATTTATTTAAAACTTCACATATGCATTTAGGGTCATAATTGTAGGTCACTGACAAAGATCCATAATTCTATCTTGCATTTAGGCTGATTTTTCTCCCCTTTTTCAACTTAGAAATTGATGGTAAAGTTTTGCTTGTAAGCTGTTATCTCAATAACTACTGAAGGGTTTGTGCCTTTTTTGGGACAGTTTTATGCAGTCAGGGCCAAAAAACCCTTCTTTATAGAGGCCGAATATAGGCTACTTCCCCAACCAAACTAGCCTCTTTTTTTCCCCAGTTTGGTCCTCAAAATTCCCCAGTCTTTTGAAATTTCCCATAGAATTTAGAATAAAGTTAAATGATGGTGTTGAATTTAGGTCTTTTACTGCCTTATTTGTATTTCCCAGTGCTTTTTGCTTTTCTATTTTGAAGACCTTGTTAAAAATTTGTGTTAAATTTGAGACCCCTTTTCCCAAAGTATGCCAAAATCACGAATATTTTCCCCAAGAAAAAGGCTGCGGCTCCTTCCCCAAAAATGGTGTTTTGGCCCTGGCAGTCATAATAATAAAGTAGTGATTTACTTGATAAAATATCTTAATAACAAGCCTTTGTACCTTTCCTGTCAAATTTATGTATTCATAGGTAATTAGTATTATTATACTCAATAAAAAACCCTTGTGACATTACCTTCCGAATAGTCAAGCCAATTCTGTATAATTTGACTCTCTCTAAGGCCTATAACATGAATTTATAAAAAAGAATAGGCTCTTTTACTATCAAGCACTTAGAATAGTCGAGCATGCTGTCCTACAGACAGCTCTTGTTATTTAAAAAGTCTAACTTCTTGATAAATTAGTGCTGAGAAAAATTTGATTGTACATGTGTACAAAAATAACAATTGGAATGTCAAAAAGCTTGTTATAAAACAGTGTTTGACATTTTGAATTGATGTGGTGATGTGGTAGTACAAACTTTAAAGATAAACATCAATGCACTTGGATTGACTTCACTTTTATAGGTCCTATAAAGAATAGTCTTGTTAAGACTTCGCTGTGTGATATTTTTATTTCATGGCAATAGTAAGTAATAGCTTTGCCCAACTTAAAAACTATTAAAAGCCCATATAAATAAGTCTTATATTTTGGACTACATTGTATGCTGACAAAAAAAAACCCAAAAGTATCAGTGCCAAAAAAAGTGAAAACCTCAGACTCTAAAAATGAAATGAATAACTGCCTTCCAGTAGAAATGTTAAGGTTTTGTCATTTGCTAAATGTATATCAAATGCACTCTTAAGCTTTTGTTTACGCATGTAAATTATTATGCCTTTATTTCAATAATATTTAAATGCATTAATTTATTGTTGCATTTTAATTTAATTTTATTGAAATCAATGAATCATATTTAAAGCTGAAGAGTGCATAATTTGACATACATCTGCTGATTTACATATACAAGTAGTAAATTTTCAAGTGTCAACATCTATATTTCGGATTTCCACTAAAAGAGAGGGTGTATGGGGGTCAGAAGTTGGGTGGGGACCAAATATTGAGTGATGCAGTTTTAGACTGGGAGGCAAGTGTTCAGGAGGCAAATGTCTTGGATTCCACACACACATCATGTGAGGAAGTTATATTGTATCTTGGCTAGCATAAATTGTAACTTTGATGATCCAGCTGTCACAGCTCATGTCCAAATTGATGTATTATTATCTGACAACACATACACACACACACAGGTCCGGTAGTGCAAAAAGCAACTTAAAAAGTGAAAATACTTCAGGCTGCAGTGATCGCTTTTGGTATTTAGTTCAGTGTATTATGTTTGTCCGGATTTGTCCTGTCTATATATAGTTCATTCTTTAAAACATAACAAAATAATTTGGTACAAATGTTCACCATGATAGGGTGGTGGGTCACACACAAAACCCAGGTATGCCACCCAAAGGTCAAGGTCACATTTAGGGGTCAAGAAAATAATTATAAGCAACATTTAATCATCTGACCTTGACAGTCAAGGTCATATCTAAATTATTCAACATGAACTTTTGCTTTATCCACAAATGAATCAAATCCTTACAAAAATAAATAAACTTAACCAAAATTTAATAATTTTAACATGTCATTTTGCCTGGGCCTCTTTGGTCCTATACCAGAAATGTGGAAAGTACTAATATGAACTTAATAGTGTCATCCAATAAAGAGAAAATATATGTATATCAGTTTTCATCATTTGATACAAGATGCAAGTAATGTTTATTTGATTTTGGCACAAATGTAAATATTAAAGAAAAACTAGCTACACACAATGTCACATTGACATTGTACATCAAATAACAAACTGAATATTAACATTAAACAGAAGGCAGCTGTTTCAGAGAGTTGTCAGATGACTGAATAAAATTATACTGGTAGATTATGCAGCTTTATAAACTAATACATGTTATTAAAATATACATTATCAGGAGATGTACATGTAAAGCATTGCAGTCTTTTTTGTAAAAGCAGCATGCCTCCAGATCAGCCAAAATATTTCAAGAAAATCAACATTGGGCCATCCTTAAAAAAATGTTTGTTTGCAGTAACCCGACCCAGAATTTTCAAGGTGGGTAGGTAGGTCGATTTTTTTTTTTTTTTTATTGAACTGTACTCCCAAATAAACATGGAATTCAAAATGCTGGACAATATATGCTTTGATAATCTGGTAACAATTAATAAATTGATAACTGAATTCTAATTTAATAAGGCCTACATTTTATTTCTTCTATTAACCTTTAAAAGAACGAAAACAAAGCACAAGGCATAATTTTCTGATTCAAAAAATTTTTTTTTTTATCCAGACCATGAAAAAAAATTTTGAGTAGGGGCAAATTTTGTGAGTCGGTCGCGTTACTGCAAACAAACATTTTTTTAAGGATGGCCTTGTGAAAAATGTAGTAAGATTTTAAGAAATGTAAAAATACTCACAATCTAAGAAATAATTCACATGTTATATGCAGTGAATGAATTTTCATTATTTATAACCCAATTTCTACTGCAGTAACAGCTACTTTTTACAATAATTACATGTACATACATTGAAATGGTATGTATGGTAAAATATAGATTAAAGGTTCCATGTCTTGGTGTAATACTATCATTCAAGTATTTAAATTTTCAGCAGTTTCTGTTTCTTAATCTTCAAGTGCCTGACAAATTTATTATGGCCTGATATACATGCAGCATAGATCTACTTAATTAAGAAACATTTCTAATAAAGAAAATATTTGTGACTTTATATTTCATGCTTGGTGCTGAAAGTTTCAAAGTGAAAATTGTCATGTCTCATACACACACGGCGAATGATTTACATCATAGATGAGTTATAGTACGTTCAATATTTATTATTACAGAAACAATCTAGAAGAGTATAGTATACAATTAAGATGTATAAGTACTTGAAATGGTCACATTATCTACTTGAAATGAGTCATATATGTGTTTATTAGACACGTAATCAGATTCTATATCAGAAGTTGTTTATTTTGTATTGAAGTACATTTTTTTTGTAAATCAAGGATATAATAGTTTCCTTTGATTAACATAACTTTGAGTAAGTGATTTTTTTCTTGTCTATTTTATCATGATCTTTGACACAATTTGTTACTTACGAACAATCTTCTGTTTCATATTTAAAGCTGCACGCCTCCAGATGAGCAAAAATATTTCAATAAAATCAAACCTTAGAAAAATTTATTAAGTTTTCAGGAAAAGTATAAAGATTCAAAATTCTCGTAATAGTTTACCTGTTATGTGCCATTAATGACCTATTTTTCAGCATTTATTATTTTATAACTTTATTTTTACTGCGTTACTAACGCAGTAAGGGCCGTTTTTGTATAATCTGACATTTTTGGTAACTTACATGGGTTGTAAGCGCCATTGATAATGTGTAAATTGCATTCTTTTGGTAACTTTACAAAATGATATTTTTAAGACATTTTCAAATTTTCATGAAAATAAGAATGAATTTAATTAAAAATATGTATTTTGAAAACTGACTGGTGATTTAGGTTTGGTTGACTTAAAAATGGAAAAAAAAAGTTGGGCTGACCCACTTACACTCAGCATTTTAGCATTTGTGTAAAACTTTATGAATTTTTTTATATGTTATTTCATATCTTTAAGTTAATTAATCCCTGACTGCACATATATAATTATAGGTTACTATCCTAAAGCTTGTGTGGGAATTTGCTGAATTATTCCTCTTTGTTTGTAAAGAAAAATTTAGAGAACTAAAGAGAAATTTGCCAAATTATTCCTCTTTGTTCATTAAGATTTTGCATGGCTTTCACATAAACCAAGTAAAGTTTTTAATTACAACTTCACTTATGTTTTTTGGGATCATAATTGTAGGTCAGTTTCCAAGACACATAACTTTGGCATAGAATTTTGCAGTTTTTCCTTCTTCTTGAATATACAAAACATCTGCATGGGTCTTTCAACTGCTGAGAATAGTCATGTTTATTAAGTTTATCAAATGTGGTAAAACTTAGAGCTTACATGACAACTGTTTCCTGTAACAGTTTTGCTACAATACATTTTATTTGATCATAATTTGATAATGTTCTATTTCTGTTTCTTTCCAGGATGTTTTCCAGCATGTTAGATATAAAAACTTGATGAAGGACTAATCTATGGTCATTTTTGATCAACAGGAAGTGGTTGCGGAATAGAAAAAAAACTGTGCGTGATATTGAATTAAACAATAGATAGAATCATGGTGAAATATTTAGTTAAGTGAGTCAGTCTAAAACAAAAATGGAGAAAAATATTGAGAATAAGTCAAGTGGGAATAAAGATAACCATGGAGACGGATTAAATGGTCTTAAATCAACATGGAAACAGTTTGATAATGCTGGTTCCAGCACTCTAGTGCAGTTATGTGGTTCATTAGCCGGAAGCCAGTATGACATTGTTACTAAGGAGATTGTTGCTCTGCTGGGTCCAGTTTTTGCCTGTGGGGAATCCGAGCTGGTTCTCGGAAGATTGCAGGAAATTGAGAGCTTGTTAGCAGGGAACCAAGAAACAGTAGAGACGAAAAAGTCAGGAGATGATTATTCTGAGAACCGAAGGGTAATTATTTATATATTATTACATTACTGTGCTGCTTTTATGACTCCTTAAAAATTGTATAGCACAGCCATGCATATATTTTGAAGTATTGTCATTAGTGAGACGCCCTAAATGTTAGCCTAACCTTATAGGCATGTCTATGAAACAGTGGTTTATTTTTCACAATAAACAGTTCTATTGGATATGTGATTGATAGAATATTATGTTTGTGTAGCTTTGTTACTAAATTTATTGAACTTGAATAAGATGCTATTAGTATTATGCTCAGGGCAGCTCACATAATAAAATTTTAAACTAAAATTAATAGAATACATGTATATTAAATAAATTCAGTAAACCTTCAGTCAATTAATATCCTCTTTTTAAATGAATTGATTAATAAATTCATTTAATATTCTTGACTCTTGTGATGAATTTAGTAAGTAACATGGTAATTTGAAGTTGTTCAATGTACATAATCAGATTCTTTAGTTCTGTTCCTTAACTTTCAATCTGTTAATTTTAAGTTTTAAATAATTAACCAGTTGCAGAAGATTCTGGCTGGCCTTCAATCTGTCTAAAGTTCAGACCTTCTTATGTTTACATGTAGTGTTACATGTAACTTTGTAGTGACAGTGTGATTTTATATTTTAGCAGATTTTAATCAGATTAGGCTGGCCTTGATCTTTCTAGTTTTCCGTAGTTGAAAATATCATAGTTGAAATTAAAGTAAATAAAACTGTTAACATTAGGTCTTGATACTTTGGTATTTACAAGTTAAAGTTAATGATTTAATGCACTGTGACTTAGTCACTTACTGTTTAATATGAGTTTTATTTAAAAAAAAAAAAAAGATACCAAAGTATCATGTGACATTTACAAGTTTTCAAATTCTTGTTATCAATAGATGCTTTTCACATATATAGCAGTTATTACCTCCCATGGCAACCATTTTAGGGGATTGTTCCTGGAATAGACTTGTAATTATCATATAACGTAACGGTATAATACGTAAGATAAGATAAAAATCTATTATAATTCATGAAAACTGACAAAGAACCTTTTTACATATATTGTTGCTAAATTGTATAATAATATTTTGCTGCATATGTATGAAATAATTTTAGAATTCAGGTACATGTATATCAGCTGTCTATATTGATTTTTTTCCATATTTTGTCAATTACATTTAATTGAATATTGACCCCCCCCCCCACCCCCACCAATGTAAAAATTGTGAACTATCTATAAGTCCTCATTCAGTCATTGGTAAGATAGTGGAAATATTTTACAGTAAAGTCAAGGTCTTGCATAATGTTTAACTTGATATTTATATTTTCTTTTATTTTCTAGAATACGTTGCGATGTTTGCTTTTGTTCATAAAGCTTCAAGCAGAATATCATCAGCTGTGCTCAAATCTGGTGTCGTCTGCTATTGATCACCTGACAATCACTTGTGAAGATCAAGAAAACACTGAACTTCTGCAGCAAATCCAGTCTTTAAAACTGAAAAACCTCTCCACCCCCATACCATCCCCAGTCCGACATGCAGCTCTTAGCAGAAAGCCGTCTGGGTCAGCCAGTGGCTCCCCAAAACCTCATAAACATGGATTAAAAGCCTCCCTCTTTTCATTATTTGAAAGAAAAAATTCACCAGAAGAAGGAAAAAGTTCTTTTTATGTTGACATTAACCAAAAAAAAGGTGAAGAGGATATTGTAGGTTCATCAGAAAATATCCAAGATGGTCATGTGATGCAAAATAACCAATCAGAGACTGTGTCAGAGAGTATTGCAAAACAAAATAGCCAATCAGAAGTTCTGGTAGACATTGGGCTGGACCCAAGTCCTTCAGGCAAAATTTTGAAAGATACTGCATCAGCAATGGGAAAATCAGGTTTGTAGAGAAATAATGTTCTTACAATTATATTTGTAAACACTAATAGTAAAAATTAAGTTTGCAGTTCCACATAAACCAATATGAAAGTGAAGTGCTATTCTTTATGTATTATTCGCTATGTCCATGTAAACAGTTCCATTTGAAAAGTAATCTTCATCGTTCATTGGTCCTCATTAAACATGGAAATATTCCTTTTATAGCTCTGGCTCTTCATTGCAATGAAATTTTTAAAGGAACTCCACTGATGTCCAATGGACTAAAATTTTGAATTTCTTACACAGATCAGCTGGAGCACTTTAAACAGAAAGATATGCAAGTGGTATTTAAGAAAGTAATCAGAAATAAATTGAAAATCCTATTTTTGGGCTGTCTTAGTCTATTTTGGTTACATTTTTCACAACCAGAATAGAAATTCTGAAAAAAAAATGGAATAAGCGAACATTCTGAAATTTGAACACAAGTTATTGGTCTAGGCCTTTATCAAATGGAACATTGATCTTGGAATATTATTTCCAGTCCCGTAATCTCAAAAGAAAAAACGTCAGTTTAGTCCCTTTAAGTATATGAAGAGTCATTGTGTCAGTTACCGTAACTTAAAGTTTTGAGTGTGTTTCATTATGCAAATAATGAAATATGATGTGTTTTACCTCACTGTTTTAGTTCTGACTGCTAATGGACATGTTGCGACTCAAGAAGAACTTGACAGTGTTATAAACCTCCTGTCAGGTGTCGGACTGGGACGAGGAACTATGCAGACCATCCCAGAAACCCGTAATCACGTCAACCTCCAAGTGCCTCCAGGGCAGTCTGGTGCTGCTCTCAGTCCCTCAACATCAGACTCGATGGACGAGAAAGCTGTCCAAGTTCGTAACAAGTCTCAAAGAAGATCTGAGGGATCTATTGATTTTTCAGGGTTTATAAATACTGGACATAATACATGGCCACATCAGCACCGGGCAAGTCTACCTGGTAAGATTACATGTATTTCTGTAAAATAAAAACATATAAAGTCTGTAAAAAAGTAATCTACTAAGAGTTTGAAATTTTTAGTTAAAACAATGCACATTGAATTTGATCTGGTAAACAGTGATTATTTCATCAAAACTAGTAGAATAACAATTTGATAAAATTTAACCAGGTAACCAGGTAATGTTTCTTTATTATTGTTTAGCAATCGTCTGCAGGAGGGTGGTCTACCTGAACATTGTCTGTTATTGCATATATTATTTACAGTACCTAATCTTATAAACAACAATTTTAAAACATGTAGTATGATATTTTATTATATACTTTTTTGATGAAAACAGATGAAACACAAGTATCTGGATCTGTTTTTTTTTAACACTGTATTGCTTAAATTTCTAAGCCATGATGTCATTTATATGCATGTGACGTCATCATAACCTGGTGGATGGAATAATAATTCTTTAATTTCACATAATCAAGTTAAGAATACAACTTATCAGAATAGGGCTGTACTGTATTCTATTTCTTTTCTTATAATTTTATTTTATTTCGTCCTAGGTGGACAGCTGGGTGCACCACCTCAGATAACATATGATTTTGCAAGTACCCCAATAGCACAGCAGCAGCAACAACAACAGAATTATTGTCCTGGATATCGTCCAACCACACTGCCACCTGGAGGTGCGGGTCACTTTCAGACAGCATATGGTATGGGATTTCCAGATCCTAAGCTAAACAGAACATGGCCAGTGAATAACTTGGCTGGATCAGGGTGAGAATTAGTAAAATTAATAAACTTAAATTGATCTGAAACTTAATAATTATTATATAGTCAACAAAAGTTATTTACTGTTCCTCAGTTGGATTACAAGTATTTTAAACATGTATCTGATAAAAATATTTTCAGCATGTACACCATTTGTCCAAAGAAGATACAAGGTAAGGTTAAACACCTGTAGGCCGTCATAGCCGGGTGGTTAAAGTAAGAGCTGTCTTGGGTTCAAATACTAAAAGCCACCTTGAGAAAGTTATCCAACTTCCTTATTGATGGTTTGTATTTTTGCTTAGATGACAGCTTATATCTAAATAGTGTTCAAAGGTCTTTCCTCAAATAAGAATGCTTGAAAATGCAAGTTGACATTGATTGGGAATGTTATGCTTAAATCGTAACCAATTAGGGAATGGCTTTTAAAAGAAAAAGAAGAAAAAAGAAATTCACCTCATTAGTGAAAACCGGAATTTAGGTGTAGTACCAAATACTTTTGCCCAGTCCGATACAAAATTGATATTTACATGTAGGTCAGTGATGGACACAATAAACAGTAGCTGGTCAGGAGGTCAAGATTCGGATGATCTCAGTGATGACTCATCATGTGGAGAACAGTTTCATACAATGTCGAGGTTACAGTACACAGAACCTAGGTAATCAACATTTTATCACCTTTTCTTAATCTTCTTTGAAAAAAACAAATGTACAATACAACCTCTGCAGGGCAAGACTCTTCCAAAGACACCCTTGCAGGGCAACACTCTTTCAAAGACACCCTTGCAAGGCAACACTCCCAAAGACACCCTTGTTAGGCAACACTCCCAAAGACACACTTGCAGGGCAACACTTCCAAAGACACCCTTGCAGGGCAACACTCTTTCAAAGACACCCCTGCAGGGCAACACTTCCAAAGACCACTGCAGAGCAACAGTCTTATGAAGACAACCCTGCAGGGTAAGACTCTGGAAGACACCTCTGCAGAAAAACACTCTTCAAAAGTCACCCCTGCAGGGCAACACTTCCAAAGACAACCCTGCAGGGCAACACTCTTCCAAAGACAACCCTGCAGGAGAACACTCTTTTGAAGACACCTCTGCAGGGCAACACTCTTCCAAAGACACCCCTGAGATGTTGCTCTAGAGATGTTAAATATAAATTTGCATCAATAAGCACTACACTGGGAAGAATGGTTTCTGTTTCAAGAGGTTATAGCTTATTGTTCTATATAGGGCTGCTTTGAAAAGGTTTCACTGAAGTAATGTTCTAGAAGTATTATCAGCCACCTAGTATGTTGGAAGTTGTAAATTCAGCCAGTATATGGCCAGGTAATAACTATAGAAATTTTATAAATGGTTTAGCTAGATCTCTTGCTTATAGATCCATTGCATAGCACATACTCAGGATTATTAAGAGACTTAAAAGTCTTTTGTACATGTAGGTAAAATGTGAAGTAGAACTATATAGGGGGGGGGGGTGGCTACATTCTACACATCTGCTTTTTTACAGCTCAAACTAACAGTGGACTGCTCTTAATTCAAAGCAGGGCAAATCTATTGTAGGTATTTAGAAGGCTTGAAAAATAAAGTACTTTATTACATGCTTTTCGGTGGTTTATAGAAATATATCAGTGATATAAAACTGGTAATTTCACTGTTTGAAACAGTGAAATTACCACTTTGATAATTTCACTGTTTTGAATTTAAGCCCCTTACGTAGATTCAGTGAAATACCAGCGTGCACAGTACTGGGTACCATTTTAATGACGTGACGTCGTAAATGACGTCACGTTGTATTATTATTTGGCGCGCTTTTCATTCAGTACTAGGTTTAATGTCTTTTTAAAACGTTTCTTTGCATATAATAAAAAGAAAATTTGTTTAGTTTAGTGTAAGATCAAAATATATTTCACCTTGTGAACACCAAAAGTTCATATTTCACTCGTGGCTGCGCCACTCGTGAAATATACCTTTTGGTGCTCACTCGGTGAAATATATTCCGATCTTACACTGAACTTAACAAATATCCTCTATGTATTTACTCATCTATAAAGCAGATCATTTATAAGACACAGGGTCCTAAAACCTGTCTTATAATAGGAAAAATAGGGTAACATATATTGTCATCTATTTCAGGAGAGACTTGTTTGAGGATTATATGAGAGATGATAAAACAGGAGAAGTGAAGCATCATAGTCTAGAAGATCTCTTGGTAATAATGTCTTCCTTTATTCCCATCTTTAGGAAAAAAGGCAATAAAGTACAATGTAGGAAAAACAAGACGGAAATTATGATAATTGAGCCGCGTCATGACAAAACCAACAAAATGGGTTTGCGACCAGCATGGATCAAGACAAGCCTGCGCATCCGCGCAGTCTGATCAGGATCCATGCTGTTCGCTTACCAACTCTATAACAAGTGGAGAAACTGACAGCGAACAGCATGGATCTCAGGTCTGGATCATTGCTGGTCGCAAACCCATTATGTTGGTTTTGTCGTGACGCGGCTCATATTTGTTTAAATCTGAGTCTGCTCACGGTAACTGAATCTACTAAGATTAGTCAGCACATCTTTCGAACACGCTTCATATTATTTCCCTATTAATTAAACAAAGAGGTCAGTAAGTGCATTATTATACATGTATAATATATGCACGACTTAAAAAAAATGATTAATTATAGATTAAATTTCCGCAACTGTGATAAATTTATGCTTCAGTTTGAAACAAACTAACTATGTGACAGAAGTTAGATATACAGTAAACTTCGCTTATACGAACACATTGGGACATTCAAAATCTGTTCCTTATATCCGTAGTTCCTTGTAAGCATATAGCGAATTAGTTCCTTGTATCAGGAGTTTTTATAGCGAACAGATTTACATATAACGAACTGTTTGTTTACTAACGTCCGCCATTTTGAAGAGCATTTGATTAAGAAAAATAAGTTGTTTTTTTCTATTTTAGACACAATACCCGAGAGCGTATTTTTTGGAATTTGAAAATCCTTTGCTATTTTATTTTTAATTTTACTCCCTTTCTCAATTTCTCATGAAATATCAAATTTTGTTTCTAAACTCAGTAATTTTTTTGTTTTCTTTCCCTGATTAAGTATAACCATGATTTTCGATTTTTCTTTCCTTTTATATTGAATATCTTCTATTATATTTTAAGGGTGACTTTTATTAGTGAAAGATATAGATTTCTTTTCATTTAAATCAAGCGTACTTTGTAGTTTTTCAATGGATTATGCTATTACGTACTGCTGTACAAATTCATTTTAATAGATGTCTTGAAGTACATACAACAATAAACTGTACATTCGGACGAGTGCCAGTGAAAACGAAAGTTGAAAATGCGGGATCTATTTACGGATAGCCGATATTTTGGAGTTCTTTATAAAAGTGTAATTTTCTGTACATTTAACTAAATTGGGACTAAGAAATGAGTTCCTTATAAGCGAAAATTCCTTATAACCGTGTTTGCTATAACCGTATATTTATACCCCCGCACAACAAAGTTGTAAGGGGGGTATACTGGAATCAGCTTGTCCGTCCGTCCGTCCGGCTGTCCGGCCGTCCGTCGGTTTTTAGCTCGACTATACAAAGTATATGGAGAGCTGTCCTACTCGCCCCGGCGTCGGCGTCCGCGTCCAGATTTTAGATTAAAGTTTTGGTGCAGTAAAATATTTTTCACTATAACTTTGTCATTTCTTAAGGTATCAACTTCAAACTTCAAATATATGTTCCTTATCATCAACCATATCTTATGTGACAAGGTTCATCATTATAATACCAATATTTACAGATTTATCCCCCCTTGAACTTAGAATGTTCCTTAAAATATATTATTTTTTACTGTTACTTCTTTATTTCTTAAGGGATCAACCTCATACTTCAAATATATGTACCTTATCATCATCCCCATCTTATGTGACAAGGTTTATAACTCTAGCACCAATATTTCAGATTTATCTCCCCTTGAACTTAGAATTTTCCTCAAAAAATGCTATTTCTTACTGTTTCTTCTTTATTTCTTAAGGGATCAACCTCATACTTCAAATATATTTACGTTATCATCATCCCCATCTTATGTGACAAGGTTCATAACTCTAGCACCAATATTTTGAGATTTATCTCCCTTTGAACTTAGAATTTTCCATAAAAAATATTATTTTTTACTGTTTCTTATTTATTTCTAAAGGGATCAACTTCATACTTCAAATATATTTACGTTATCATCATCCCCATCTTATGTGACAAGGTTCATAACTCTAGCACCAATATTGCAAGAATTATCTCCCCATAAACTTAGATTTTTTTACTAGAAAAATGTTATTTTTTATTATAACTTTTTTATTTTTAAAGGTATCTACCTCAAACTTCAAATACTTATTCCTTATCATCAATTACATTTTATGTGACAATGTTCATAACTCTTAAAGCAATATTAACAGATTTATCTCTCTTTGAACTTAGGATTTTCTTTAAGAAATATAATAACTTCTTTACTTTTAAGGTATCTACTTCAAACTTCAAATATATATTTCTTATCATTACACAAATGTTGTGTGAAAAGGTCTCTAGCATGACTATTTCTAGAATTATTCCCCTTGATCTTGAAATTTATGTTAACAAATGTTATTTTTTTACTATAACTTAATACATAATTATACATAATTGATTTTCCTTTCATAATTTTGTCCTCCTTACTGCGTCAAGTATTTTATTAGTCGAGCTTCGCTGTCTCCTGTGACAGCTCTTGTTTCTTGTCCGCCCAATAACTTAAGATTCCTTTGACCCATAGTCTTCATATTTGGCATGGAGGTTAGTCATGATTAGTAGATGACCCCTATTGATTTTGAGGTCACTAGGTCAAAGGTCAAGGTCACAGGGGCCTTGACTTCAAAAAGCTTGTCCGCCCAATAACTTAAGATTCCTTTGACCTACAGTCGTCATATTTGGCATGGAGGTTAGTCATGATTAGTAGATGACCCCTATTGATTTTGAGGTCACCAGGTCAAAGGTCAAGGTCACAGGGGCCTTGACTTCAAAAAGCTTGTCCGCCCAATAACTTAAGATTCCTTTGACCCACAGTCTTCATATTTGGAATGGAGGTTAGTCATGATTAGTAGATGACCCCTTTTGATTTTGAGGTCACCAGGTCAAAGGTCAAGGTCACAGGGGCCTTGACTTCAAAAAGCTTGTCCGCCCAATAACTTAAGATTCCTTTGACCCATAGTCTTCATATTTGGCATTGAGGTTAGTCATGATTAGAAGATGACCCCTATTGACTTTGAGGTCACCAGGTCAAAGGTCAAGGTCACAGGGGCCTTGACTTCAAAAAAGCTTGTCCGACCAATAACTTAAGATTCCTTTGACCCACAGTCTTCATATTTGGCATGGAAGCTAGTCATGATAAGTAGATGACCCCTATTGACTTTGAGGTCACCAGGTCAAAGGTCAAGGTCACATGGGCCTTGACTTCAAAAAGCTTGTCCGCCCAATAACTTAAGATTCCTTTGACCCACAGTCTTCATATTTGGCATGGAGCTTAGTCATGATTAGTAGATGACCCCTTTTGACTTTGAGGTCACCAGGTCAGAGGTCAAGGTCACAGGGGCCTTGACTTCAAAAAGCTTGTCCACCCTATAACTTAAGATTCCTTTGACCCACAGTCTTCATATTTGGCATGGAGGTTAGACATGATTAGTAGATGACCCCTATTGATTTTGAGGTCACCAGGTCAAAGGTCAAGGTCACAGGGGCCTTGACTTCAAAAAGCTTGTCCGCCCAATAACTTAAGATTCCTATGACCCACAGTCTTCATCTTTGGAATGGAGGTTAGTCATGATTAGAAGATGACCCCTTTTGATTTTGAGGTCACTGGATCAAAGGTCAAGGTCATAGGGACTTTGACTTCAAAAAGTTTGTCCACCCATTAACTTAAGATTCCTTTAACCCACAGTCTTCATATTTGGCATGGATGTTGATCATGACTATAAGGTGACCCCTATTGATTTGGAGGTCACTGGGTCAAAGGTCAAGGTCACAGGGACCTTGACAAAAAAAGCTTTTCTTCTCAATTGCTAAAGAATGTCCTGTCCGCAATGTATTGATTTTGACATTTTCACATTTGAAGCATGTAGAATACATAACTTAGCAATGCACTGGCTTAGTAACCTCAGATTTGGCAGGGAGGTTGTCCTTGAGCTCTAAATGGCCACTGTTGATTCTGACAAAGTGGTATGCGGGGGTATTCACGCCATCATAGTGGCAGTTCTAGTTAAAATTGGAATTGTTTTTTTTTGTAACAATTATAGAAAGTTATGTTTTCATTGTTGGTTTTTCTTTTGCAACAATTTAATAAAAAATGATAATTTTGTAAAACATGTGTCTCTGATTATTAACTTTGGGTATTCAAAACAAATGACCTTACAGGAAATTTTTCCGGCTTACCAAATATTTCTATAAAATCATGAATATTTCCTTATCAAATGAACAATATTTATTATTGGAATTGTTTTTTGTAACAATTATAGAAAGTTATGTTTATTTGTTGCATGGCCATGCATACATTTTGATAAGTTGCATTTGCGTTATACAAACATAGCGTTAAGGCGCTCTAAATGTTAGCGTGAAAATGCTTCTTTTTCACTTCAAACAGTCTTTATTTTTGGTATGTAATAAATAGAATATTTAATTTGTGCAAGTTCATTTCTGAATTTATTGGACTTGTTGAAAAAATAATATAATGCTCGCTAGAGGCTCACATAATATACTTTTATTTAACTCCTTAAATAAATTCATTATTAACCTCATACTCATTTAATATCCTGAATCACAAGAAAGAAGTAGTTTTTCACCCTTATTATACCCCCGCACAACAAAGTTGTAAGGGGGGTATACTGGAATCAGCTTGTCCGGCTGTCCGTCGGTTTTTTCTTGTCCGCCCAATAACTTAAGATTCCTTTGACCCTTAGTCTTCATATTTGGCATGGAGGTTAGTCATGATTAGTAGATGACCCCTATTGATTTTGAGGTCACTAGGTCAAAGGTCAAGGTCACAGGGGCCTTGACTTCAAAAAGCTTGTCCGCCCAATAACTTAAGATTCCTTTGACCTACAGTCGTCATATTTGGCATGGAGGTTAGTCATGATTAGTAGATGACCCCTATTGATTTTGAGGTCACCAGGTCAAAGGTCAAGGTCACAGGGGCCTTGACTTCAAAAAGCTTGTCCGCCCAATAACTTAAGATTCCTTTGATCTACAGTCGTCATATTTGGCATGGAGGTTAGTCATGATTAGTAGATGACCCCTATTGATTTTGAGGTCACCAGGTCAAAGGTCAAGGTCACAGGGGCCTTGACTTCAAAAAGCTTGTCCGCCCAATAACTTAAGATTCCTTTGACCCACAGTCTTCATATTTGGCATGGAGGCTAGTCATGATAAGTAGATGAACCCTTTTGACTTTGAGGTCACCAGGTCAAAGGTCAAGGTCACAGGGACATCAAAAAGTTTGTCTGCCCAATAACTTTAGATTCCTTTGACCCACAGTCTTCATATTTGGCATAGATGTTGATCATGATTAGTAGATGACCCCTTTTGATTTTGAGGTCGCTGGATCAAAGGTCAAGGCCATAGGGACTTTGACTTCAAAAAGTTTGTACCCCCATTAACTTAAGATTCCTTTGACCCACAGTCTTCATATTTGGCATGGATGTTGATCATGACTATAAGGTGACCCCTATTGATTTTGAGGTCACTGGGTCAAAGGTCAAGGTCGCAGGGACCTTGATAAAAAAAAAAGCTTTTCTTCTCAATTGCTAAAGAATGTCCTGTCCGCAATGTATTGATTTTGACATTTTCACATTTGAAGCATGTAGAATACATAACTTAGCAATGCACTGGCTTAGTAACCTCAGATTTGGCAGGGAGGTTGTCCTTGAGCTCTAAATGGCCACTGTTGATTCTGACAAAGTGGTATGCGGGGGTATTCACGCCATGATAGTGGCAGTTCTAGTTTTATATTAAATAAAGAAGGGCAAAATTCGGGCCAAAATAAATTGTACCTTATAACCGGAAGTTCGCTATAACCGTGTTCGCTATAAGTGAAGTTTACTGTATTCACATATTTGTCAAAAAAATACCTTTAGGTAATTAATTTTGGCCATAGTGGTAACTAATTGTGTGACTTTTAGAATATTTTACTTCAGGAGTGATAACTTTAGCAAGAAAAAGATGTCTGATACATTATAAGAAACTTGTTACAATAGCTTGTACGGTATTGTTGAGATCTTTACTGTTTTACTTGAGAACTGTAAGCTTTCAATCTAACGAAATGATGGACCTGAGGTCTTCCTCCACCAGTAAAGCTCAATGTTGCCATATAACCATTACAGTAACTTACAATTTTGTTCATTTGTTGCAGGATAGTCGATCAAATACCTGGCCTCAACAATTACAGCAGCCTTGGTCACAATCACATTTAGGGGCGGAGCTTATGGGGTCACATGATCAGTCAGCATACCATCGTCCAATCAGCATGCAGATGAGTGATCCATTGTCTAGAAGAAATATTTGGCAAAATACTGGTAAAATAGATAAAATTTCGAACTGATTTTATAATCTTTTGTTTATTTGGATAGGTTACAATCTAATTCCTAACTCACACCACCTTAAAAGTATTTCCAACTTCTTTTAATTTGATATGTACTTCTTTGACATGTATTATGCTTTGAATGGACTGTAAATATTTAACATGTATTTCTTGTTCTGACAATTTCAATGTACATTGTAACATAATGTTGTTGCAATTATTTTTGTAATATTGTAGTTGTATATATTGTAAATTATGTTTTTATTAGAGGCCCACATGGAAGATTGGGAAACCAAATGTGTAGCCTCGATAAATAAAGCCTTTACTTACTTACTTACTTACTTACAATTTATTTTATTTTTTATTGTGACATGTCACGATCCAATTACTGATAGTATTTTGTTAAAACAGAATTTATTTTAGTTTAATTGTGTAGGAAGCTACAAACTTATAGACAAACTTTTGAATCCATTTCTGGAACCAACAAGTACTGCGCAATATGTGAAAAGTTTCTTGCTTAAAGAAACAGTGACTTGCCCCTAACAGGGTTTGAACCAATGCACCTAGCAATCTGAATATTACTGGTCTGATGTGTGAACCACTGAGCCTTGGTTTTTTAAAAAAGACTTCTATTCACTGATTAAAAATATCAAAATACATGTATAAGCTTGAATGCACACTCAAATTTGATCTGTCAAAATTATATTTCAGGTCAAGAGTTTCCATTGCAACCTTCACAGTCACAGAGTTTACATGGAGGGCTGGGACCCATGTGAAATGAAGGGCTGGTTCCCTTTGTAGGGTTAGAGTTCATGTAAGGATTGATGGCTTGGACCACATGTTCCACTCACTTCAACTTTTGTTTAATGAAAAAGACTTTGAAGACCTGTGTAAACACTAAGCAGTTATTAATGAAAAAACTCTGAATTTTTAATATTTATCAAAACACTGTGTGCCTATTATTCAAGCTTACGGGCATTAACAATACAAATTTTCATGAAAAAAACAAAAAAAACTTTGGAGCCTTTGTACATTAATCAACGCAAGTTTGCCAAATTTCATAGTTGAAGTAACCATATTAGATCTAAGTTTAATAGGTAAATATTACTGTAATTTAATTGCAGTGTTTAGGTTTCAGCAAACCAGTACACTTATTTATATCTGACTTCTCCATGATATTTATGAAATAAGAATTTGTTACTGGAAATGAAATTTTAGCTAGTTAGAGAAAAGGAACATAGTAAAATTAAGTAAGATCTTTTTTTTTTGATGACCCGATTGTCAGGATGTCATTCACATTGCAGTGTATTGTTTAGATATTTTATTGTCTTATTTAAGCTATGCACTTTCTGCTTAATTGATATTAGTGATTAAAATGGCAAGAGGGATGTTAATCTGAAGCAGTTTAGGCCCCTTTTATCATGTTTAAAAATGAATAATAGATGAGATAAACTCATGTTTGCATAGTATGTGACCATTAATAGAAGATTTTCAGTATATATCATTACCTTAGTGCAGTAACAGGTTAACTCCTATTATATTTTTATAGGAGTAAATCCCAAGTTCCACTTAAGTTACACTATATGTTTAATGCTCATCACTAGCTTATTTAGTTAGAATTATGCTGTACTGAAACTGGGGTTATTACCAATCTAAAGTCCAGCATACTTAAAGAATTTATTTCACACAAACTCAGTGATTCAGTCTAAGCCAGTTTAAAGACTTTTATAAGTCATAGAAGTGTTCAGGGTAAATTTTGTGTTCTTGCCATTTATTATTTTGAAATCCTTTTTTTTTCACCCAATAAATGGTGCCATTTATTTGTCATAAATTTATTTACACCATCTAATCATACTAACTGACATAATAGGGATAGAAAATATGTATAAAATCTGGGACATAATACTTGTATAAGAGGATGAGTGGCTATGACTTGTTATGCTGCCTTATTTTGTTGTCCAATGCTGCCTTATTTTGTTGTCCAATTGACACTTTAATGGAATAATAAGGGTAATGTTTGAATACTTTATTAATGGTGTCATAATTAAATAATAATTACATTGATAAATTTTCATAATGCTCTTTAGATACAAAAAGATTAAAATCTAACATAAGTTAGGTTATATTTCTCTTATTGATGCTGTTAATTACAGACAATAAAAATACCCTTTCACAATGATGAACCTGACGGCATGTTGGCCTGTGCACTTGAGTGGACAAAAAGCTAACCATTTGCTTATCGTCAGTTGCTTGTCCTTTGATATTATATCCCAGATTAAGCTTATTAAATCTCAAATTTCATAAATTTTATACTCGATTTGTATAAGATAATGAAGTGCAATATTTTCATAGCTTATGTATAATATAATTGTTAATTTGTCATCCTGTATGGTTACGTTGTACTGAAAAATGTTTTACATTAAATTTTGTTCTAAATGTTTGCTTTTAAGTTAAGTTTTCGATATTGTGATAACTTATTAGATGGTTTAAATATTATTTATTTAAGCTTGATTGTGAAACAAGTTCTTGCAACTTATATTGATCACAGGTGCTAGTGGCATTGATTTGACCTAAAATGTGTTTGACCTTGTTATTTATACAATAAAATATCAATATATTAAAAAAAAATTTAAATTTTTTTTTTTTTTTTTTAAATTTTTTTTTTAATATATTGATATTTTATTGTATAAATAACAAGGTCAAACACATTTTAGGTCAAATCAATGCCACTAGCACCTGTGATATTGATCTCTTTCTTCCTTGAACCAATCAGTACTGGTGTCATATAAAAAAAACATGGTCGTGACCCAATTAGGGCTCAAATCCATGATGCCTGGGTTTAGAGGCAGACACTTTAGCCTAGTGGTTAACTACCAAGGGAACCTATGCAAGTCTTAATGGTGTCATGACAATGTTGTGTGACACCAGGACTGATTTGTTCCAGAAAGTAGACTTGAAAAATGGTACAAAAACAAGTTTCTTTACACTTAAGTTTCAATGATATTGAAACTTTACTTTTGGCAGGTTAAGTTCATCATTCTGTGATCAGAACCTCTCACATCAATAACAGGCTTTTCTAATTTCAAAATAAGAACAGTCTTTTTACATTACAAATTTAGCTTGATAAATATAGATCATATAGTACTATAAATGAGAATATTACAGCCCTCAATTTGCTAGGTCTATATTGATCTTTATTTGCTCAGAAGATTTGAATTGGCTAAACATAAAGTGTCTATTTCTATACTATTCTGATTTTCACTTTTTGCTTTATCTTCATAGATTACAATGAGATATTTTAATTTACCAGTGGTATGAATTGTGTTCATGTAATATTTTGTAGCTTTAGTGCATATATTGTGCAATATTGTGTTTAGGTGTACAAATACTGAGTTTATAAATTATTATTTAGTGGTGCTTAATTAGTTAATTAGTTACTTAATTTTTTTAAGCTACTTTGACAGGTGCTTCTTATAAATTATGACCAGACTTTGTTCAATGCTCATTATACCATGCTACAAGTTTTTCATTGTTTCTTTAAAATAAGTTACATTTTGTTCTTATATATTTTGTTGAATTAATTCACTTATATATTGGGTTGAATGAATGATTTTAAATACTGATCGGGGAATTGTTAAGCTACTAAATAGAATTGATTTATACTGAGATGTGAATATTTATTTGTTTTTTTTATAGTGTCGATTCCTCTAAGTTTATGTAGTGTTACTTTATTCAGATATGACATTACAGTTGCAGATTTGTTACCCTTTCATTTTTGTTTTCTTCTCAGAAATAAGTCATTTAGCATGATGGAAATATTTTCATTGTTTAGAAATATTACCTAACTCATAACTTATGTGCTTTATGAGGATTTATCAGTACAGATGTAAATTTAGTTTGGGATGTAAATTTAGTGTTACACTTGTAAACAGATACTAGGATTGTTTGTAATTTACCAAATTTTCTCCTGAAAGAAATCCTTCCATTGATTCCAGTATTAAAATAGTGCAAAGTGATGTTTTGTATCTTTTTTATTTCCAAAACTGAAGTACATTTTATACATGCGATACTATCAGTATATTATACATGTGATAAATCAGAGTAGAATATATGGACATTTATCCCCCCAAGGACATTTGTTCTGCACTCACAGAACAGTGGCGCGGTGGGGGCACCTGTGTCCTATGGACACATTTCTAGTTTAACCCTTAATCTGCTGAATGTAGTAAATGATTCACATTTCTTTGAATTTTGAACATGCAAGTCAATGTTACTGGCCTTTATGGCATAGGGAAAATGTTGTCACCGCAAACGTTTTAAGAAGTGAGCTTTTCTTAAAAGGATGAATTCCGATGTGAAGTTAATTTGCAAAAACATTGATAAGTAATACAATTGATCTGTTGCTTTTTTATAGTGTCGATTCATCATAAGTTTATGTAGTGTTACTTTATTCAGATATGACATTACAGTTGCAGATTTATTACCCTTTCATTTTTGTTTTCTTCTCAGAAATAAGTCATTTAGCATGATGGAAATATTTTCATTGTTTATAGAAATATTTACCTAACTCGTAAACTTATAGGCTTTATGAGGATTTATCAGTACAGATGTAAATTTAGTTTGGGATGTAAATTTAGTGTTACACTTGTAAACAGATACTAGGATTGTTTGTAATTTACCTAATTTTCTCCTGAAAGAAATCCTTCCATTGATTCCAGTATTAAAATAGTGCAAAGTGATATGTTTTGTATCTTTTTATTCTCATAAAGTTATAGTACCGTAATACTGTAGCATCAGTATATATGCAACAAAACTGACTAGAATATATGGAAATTTATCCCCCAAGGACATTTGTTCTGCACTCTAAAAATGCATAATTAGACATTTGTCCCCCCAGTAGAACTGTCTTATTGCATAGGCATTTTCCCCTCACCCCCATCACCCATAGAAACATTATGTATAAACAGAGGAAAACATTCAAAGTAGCAGATTTAACATGTTAGGGAATGTCTAGAATTATATCAAATCAGGTATGTACAGGGATGGTGGAGTTAATGTCCACTTACATTTAAACTTTAGGGGTTGGGGAGTGTAAGGATACCATTTTAGAGGGGTGGATGTCTGTGGACAAGTCATGGGTAACTTGCTTGCTTCTAATCACTTGTTGTTCACCACTGCAGAGTTAGAATCCATTGAATATTTTGTTAAGAAAGCTATTCATTTTAAGCTCAACTTAGCACAGAGATGAGCTTTTGAGATGTTATTGCATCTGTCATATGTTGTTTATTGTTATGCAATTTCTTTTTACAACATCTCTTCCTGCATTTTTGGCCAAACTTCACAGAAATTATCCAAGTTGCACTTTAAAAAGATCTTCTCGGAGACTTCAATTGTTTGTTTGGTTTTACGGTGTACCAACACAGTATGGAGACTACAATGCCACAAGCTAAGATAATTGACATTTAGTATCATCCGGTGGTTCTACTAAAGCTGTATACAATGTACATGTATATATCATGCCCCGTGGGTCAAAATCAAAACTAGCCCTGCACTGGGGTTGGCTTAGTTCATAGTGACAGACTTATATAGGTAAACACATTTAAATCTTCTTGTGTGAAACTACAAGAACTTAGATATTAGGCTTTTAGATCACATAATGGTCTACAGTGGTGTGAATAAATGGCAAATGTACTATGCATTGTAGTTTCTGATAAATACAGAATAGTGCAGGCCAGGTTGTCACTATACTTTTTCTGTCAAACTTCTGAATTCATTGTGAACATATTACATTATTTAAACACCTGCTGACACTTAAATGAATAAAGGATTACATTTCCTTATACTGGTTAGAAGAACTCGGATATACCAAACTTGTACAAAACATCATGGTCCTACCAAGTTTGCAATTGCCAAGTTTCACTGTAACCATGAAGGAGACATTAGGATTATTAAGTTGATTTGAGTACACATGTATTTTCAAGGGCATATTTCAGGAAAACAAAAAATCTGTAAAATTTTAATAATTTTATTTTGGCAAATTCAAAATAAAGTCTATAAAAGGTAGTACAAATGAAGCAGTTTAAATCAGTAAATCAAGATAAATGGTTTCTAAAATATTTGTTTAAAACACAAAAATAAACATTTTAAAGTTAGATAAATGCTTAACAAATGTAAACCGGTAAAAGTTTTATTTTGCTTTAAAGATAAATATTCCCTCTTGGGCAAATGTACAAGTTACGATAGCTTCATAAAATTCAAATGACATTTCAATCATGTGAATTTAAAGTTTCTATACATGTTCTTTTAAAATAAAACATTTATGAGATGTCAAAAAAAATACAATTTTTTTTTGTTCACTTTAACACAGACTACCATTCATTTACAATTATAACAATACTGAAATACAAACAATAATGCATCTTATGTTTTAATATGATATTGAATTAAGCAAGGTGGTAATACTGTATTAGAATTGAATAATATAATTTGATATAAAATACCATCAATACAGACTTAGATATCCTTTAATAATTTGAAATACCAATACCAGATATCTAACTTGTTAAAAAATACCAATAAATACAAAATGTTATCTTTCACTCAAAATGATATGTTGCATTCTGAACTACTAAAAGACATTTTTCTTTTCTTTTTTTTGAAACAGACAAACTTAAATCAGTTTAAAATTGACATTTTTACTTTAATCCAGTACCAATAAAACAATTTTATATCTAAAATTATTTGAAATACAAATTATGTAAAACATTAAATCTTGTTTGATATAAAATACAGTTGATAAACCTCAATGGCTAGAATACAGCAGTGGCATGAATTATGGGGGGACAAATTTTTGTAGTTTATTTCATGTACAATGTCATAACTTCTAAACATTCTGAATTGAAATAAAAACAATATAAAGGCTGATAATAAAATATTGTTTCCTGTCCCAAGACCTACAAAATGTATTTATAAAAATTGTGTTGATGATGAAAATTAAGTTTAATGAAATGTTGTTTTTGAACTCAGTTATGGAAATTGATACTGTTAGATAACAGACAAATTGCTACACATATAACTATGCTTAAAGCTTCCAGAAAAAAACATTTTTTTTAATGTTTTCCTTTACATGTATAAGATAGTGTGGTTTGACCTTTTGGTTTTATAGTCATACCCTTGTTAAAGAACACATCAGTGTTAAAGAAAACATCAGAATAAAGATCCCTCTGTAAATAAAGGCAACACACACTCTGGCAATCCTTCATTGATTAAAAAGAAGAAGGCAACTTACAAATAAAGCCCAGTTGTCTAGGTTTGACAGTTGTTTGAATGACCTTGTTGGTATTTCATTGAAAATAATGATCTATACACAGGAAACATCATTTATGAAATATCAACAAATGGAAAGAAATATTCTTAAATGCAAAACCATTAAAACTAATAAAAAGTCTTATATAAAAATAATATGACACTAAACTTAAATCTTAACAATTACATTGGTAAAAAGTAATTAACTAACCCTTTTCGTGCTGGAACTAAAAATGATAAGCCTTTGCCACCAGTTAGAAGCCAGGTCAACCTGCACAAACTTGCAGTCTGACCAAACTCCTTTCTGTTGTCTGACTAACTTAATTCCGACTGTCAACCAGACATAACCAAATTGACAATGAACAGATGGAATCTGGACATGCCAATTTAGTAAATAAAGCAGGTTAAAGGGCTAATCATGGTACAAATATCTTAAAGTAAGCAATTGATATGGGGCGTTCATATTGACTATAAATTAATACCTCGTCACCAGAAGCACCATATTGTACAAGCATCACTACATTTTGAGGGTTGACTGCAAAACTGCAGTAACTTATATGAAATAAAGAAGGACTTACAACAGTTTTGCGATCAACCTTCGATTTATCATTAAACATAAATAATTAATGATAAGAAGAATATAAATGCAAAAAAATTAACAAGTGATAAATTCATGCAGTTTTACGTTTTTATAATAGACCTTCAATAAATGTATTTATTGCATAATAAATGCATTTTGTAAAAATACACAGAAATAATATTACATGTATTAGAATCCATGTTTTTGGTAAAAAAACATCTTTAACAACACAAATCTTATACAACAGCAAAAAGCACTTAGTATTCTACAAATAAAAGGAAACAAATTTGTTGTAAAAAGATTGATTGTAAATGACAAGAGTTCTAAAAAGAAAACAGATCTCAATTCTTCAATAGGTGATAAATATCATATGAGTTATAGTACCAAAACAATTCCAAAACAATACAACATGATGATGATCAACAATCTGGGTCTAAGGTTATAAATAAATCCTGCGAGCTAAGATCTCAAGTATTTAATTGGTCTGGAACTGCCACAAAATGTACACTGACCAATGAAAATCCTGAGATGCGAGACAAGACTCAGAAAAAGTTTTATAACCTAGAAGCATGTTTGTGTTCTTTATAAAGCCTTAAGATAGATTTTCTTTATTACAAGTCAATGAAACATTGATTACATAAAAACCTGAAAAAGTAACAAGAGCTGTCAAAGGAGTGAAGAATTCTGCCACCAACTCTATGATTTAGGATTTTATGAAGGTCCATCCTATCATTATTTTGCCAAGATGAGCATTAGAGCTACATGAAGTTTGAAGAAAGACCTTGCACGTCACCTTGTTGAGGTGAGCATTACCACCTAGTCTGAAGAAAATCCTGAGGGCTATAGGATTTATAGAGCTGAAACATGGAGACAGAATGACAGACCCATAAACATGACAAAGTGGTTCCGGTATAAACCCCCTCCCCAGCCCTCATCCCCCATCAAACTTTATCGGGTGGGTATTTAATCACAGGTTAAAGTTAGGCAAGTAAAAGAGTTTCAATTTTTCCAAACAAGTACCCCAACAATAATTCATGAGGAAAATGAATTTTCTGGGTTGGTAGCTGGGGGGTAATTTGTGTAAATAAAGTAAATTGGTGTGTAAACATTTCTTTATCTAATATAAAACCACTCCTGGTTCAGTCATTAAAATTATGTTCCTTTCTTTAAACAAGTAATTTTAAAGATATATACACACTTAACCTTTCTGTAACAAGTTTAACCATATTCAGTTTAAGACCATTCCTGTGTGTTCAATGGTTTTTCTTGTTTCTTTACATTAACTCCTACATGTATCTTATCTAACAACTTGCATTATACATGTACATTATCACTGAATTCACAACACTTATATCACTTTTTATACTGTCAGTATCAGTATTTCAACTACTTCTTATCAACTGCTATACCCCATCTTTGACGTCTTGTTCGATTTTTTTATCCTCTAAATTTATTTCCATTTCAGGAACCTTTTTAGAAGCTTCTTCTTCATCTTCTGTGTCGTCCTTACATAATAAACACATTGGTTCATTCAGACCGTAGTCTATACAGGTGTCCCCGATACACTGACAACACCCAGCGTTCTGAAACCAGCGGTATTTGGCCGCCCCCATGGATTTACACGACTGTTTACATTTGTTCATTGACATACACTTAGACATAAATGCGACAGTACAGTTAGTTTTACTGTGAGACAGCCCATCTGAGAGATCATGTTCTGAAACAAAACAAAAACATCTATTAGTGAAGACAAAAAACAATTATCAATAATAATTCTAATACAGATATACATGTATTCACCTCTTGTTTACTAACCGCCTAACAAAATGATTTTTTTTTTGGTTGGATTTTACATTGCACCAACACAGTATAAGTCATATTGAGACTTCCCAGCTTTACTGGTGGAGGAAGACCTCAGGTGCCGCTCTGTGCATATTTCAGCCACAAGTGTGCACCTGAGTAGACCCATCAACATCTGTCAGCTAGCTGGATAGCTCCCTCACATGAAAACAAAATTATGATAATAAGGTTTCTGTCATTGCTCTCAAATAAAAATATGATAGTGTGCAATCTTGTCTTTAACTGGATACTGGTAAAAGATAACATGCTATGATTATTTTCCCCATAAAAAAAACTTTAAATTCTTTTCAACTAAGCTTCTTTGGTCTTCATAAGATATAAAGAGACCAAGTTCCTATAAAAAAAGATAAACAAGTAAAAAAAATCCAAAAAAACATAAATTTGTCAAATTAAACTTAAGTAATTTAACTGAAATATTGGTGTATCATGTACTTGTATTTGAATTTTGTCTAGTACATCTTTTTTCCACATTTATTAAACCCTAAGAGTTTCAACTTCAAAGCAGGGCTAAATCTTTCAATTAAGTTAAAATTTATACATTTCTATGTATCAAAACAAATTCAACGTAAAGTTAGATAGTTCAGATTTTTACTTTAATGGGTTTTACATCAGTGTATTGTATCAGACATTAAAACTTGTCTATCTCATGCTAATTGATTTATAATGATGATAGATTTTCTATAATGTAAAAAATTCAGTAACTCAAGAAAAGCTAGAAATTGATAATGTTCCAACATTTCAATCAGACAAAAACTTGCTTTTATTAAATGTTAAATTTTCCATTAATACATTAAATCTGTAAGAATTTCTTCCTCTATTTATATTATTCAATATAAATATGTTCCTTCAAGTTCTAGTCAGGGTATTCGTATAAAATTTTATGATTTCACACACAAATTGAGACAGACTCAACATGACAATTTGCAAACTGCTTTCTTTGTGAAAGTATTATTTTTGATGCATGCTTATATATTATATAGAGATATAAATGAGGCTACATGGGTAGTTGTGGTCTCTCCTAGTAGGATCAAGGACCCAAGCACAAGCCTTATTTTAAGGTTATTGGTCTCTCCTGGTAGAAAACACTCCGGGATCAAGGTCCCACAGTTTGGGTGGTATTAGTGAAGAAGCTTTAGGTTGTATAGGAAAGCAGGCTCAGGTGGCATGACCATTTGGGTGGTGTAGACAAGAAGGCTGGTGGCCTGACTGTTTGTGTGGTATTGGCATGCAAGCTGGTGATTGTGAGTGGTATAGGCAAGCAGGCTGGTGCCATAACTATTTAGATGGTAGTGGCAAGACTGGTGGGAAAACTATCTGGATGGTATTGGCATGTAAGTGGTATAGGCAAACTGGCTGGTGGCATGACTATTAGTAGGGTGGTATAGGCAAGAAGACTTGTGGGCAGACTATTTGGATGATATTAGCAAGCAGACTGGTGGCCTTATTGTGAAAAGTATAGGCAAGCAGGCTGGTGGCCGGACTAATTGGATAGTATTGGCAAGCAGGCTGGTGGCCTGACTATTTGGGTGGTATTGGCAAGGAAACCAATGGCCTGACTGTGGGTTGTATAGGCAATCAAGCTGACTTGACTTTGTGGGTGGTATAGGCAATCAGGCTGATGGCCCGACTTTGGGTTATATTGGCAAGCATGCTGGTAGCCTGACTAGGTGGTATAGGCAATCAAGCTGGTTGCCTGACTGTATGTGGTATAGGCCAGGAGGTTAGTGGCCTGACTGTAGGTGGTATAGGCAAGCAGCTAGTAGCCTGACTGTAGGTGGTATAGGCAAGCAGCTAGTAGCCTGACTGTAGGTGGTATAGGCAAGGAGGCTAGTGGCCTGACTGTACGTGGTATAGGCAAGCAGTTAGTGGCCTTTCTGTGGGTGGTATAGGCAAGGAGGCTAGTGACCTTTCTGTGGGTGGTATAGGCAAGGAGACTAGTGGCTTTCTGTGGGTGGTATAGGCAAGGAGGCTAGTGGCCTGACTGTAGGTGGTATAGGCAAGGAGGCTAGTGGCCTGGCTGTAGGTGGTATAGGCAAGGAGGCTAGTGGCCTTTCTGTGGGTGGTATAGGCAAGGAGGCCAGTGACCTGACTGTAGGTGGTATAGGCAATGAGGCTAGTGACCTAACTGTAGGTGGTATAGGCAAGGAGGCTGGTGGCCTGACTGTGGGTGGTATAGGCAAGCAGCTAGTAGCCTGACTGTAGGTGGTATAGGCAAGGAGGCTAGTGGCCTTTCTGTGGGTGGTATAGGCAAGGAGGCTAGTGGCCTGACTGTAGGTGGTATAGGCAAGGAGGCTAGTGGCCTGACTGTAGGTGGTATAGGCAAGGAGGCTAGTGACCTGACTGTAGGTCATATAGGCAAGGAGGCTAGTGGCCTGACTGTAGGTGGTATAGGCAAGGAGGCTAGTGGCCTGACTGTAGGTGGTATAGGCAAGAGGCTAGTGGCCTGACTGTAGGTGGTATAGGCAAGGAGGCTAGTGACCTGACTGTAGGTGGTATAGGCAAGGAGGCTAGTGGCCTGACTGTAGGTGGTATAGGCAAGGAGGCTAGTGACCTGACTGTAGGTCATATAGGCAAGGAGGCTAATGGCCTGACTGTAGGTGGTTTAGGCAAGGAGGCTAGTGACCTGACTGTAGGTGGTATAGGCAAGGAGGCTAGTGACCTGACTGTAGGTGGTATAGGCAAGGAGGCTAGTGACCTGACTGTAGGTGGTATAGGCAAGGAGGCTAGTGACCTGACTGTAGGTGGTATAGGCAAGGAGGCTAGTGACCTGACTGTAGGTGGTATAGGCAAGGAGGCTAGTGACCTGACTGTAGGTGGTATAGGCAAGGAGGCTAGTGACCTGACTGTAGGTGGTATAGGCAAGCAGACTAGTAGCCTGACTGTAGGTGGTATAGGCAAGCAGTTAGTGGCCTGACTGTAGGTGGTATAGGCAAGTAGTTAGTGGCCTTTCTGTGGGTGGTATAGGCAAGGAGACTAGTGGCCTGGCTGTAGGTGGTATATGCAAGCAGCTAGTGGCCTTTCTGTGGTTGGTATAGGCAAGGAGGCTACTGGCCTTTCTGTGGGTGGTATAGGCAAGGAGGCTAGTGACCTGACTGTAGGTGGTATAGGCAAGCAGTTAGTGGCCTGACTGTAGGTGGTATAGGCAAGGAGGCTAGTGGCCTGACTGTAGGTGGTATAGGCAAGGAGGCTAGTGGCCTGGCTGTAGGTGGTATAGGCAAGGAGGCTAGTGGCCTGGCTGTAGGTGGTATAGGCAAGGAGGCTAGTGGCCTTTCTGTGGGTGGTATAGGCAAGGAGGCTAATGGCCTGGCTGTATTGTGGTATAGGCAAGGAGGCTAGTGGCCTTTCTGTGGGTGGTATAGGCAAGGAGGCTAGTGGCCTGACTGTAGGTGGTATAGGCAAGGAGGCATAGTGACCTTTCTGTGGGTTGGTATAGGCAAGCCAGTTAGTGGCCTTTCTGTGGGTGGTATAGGCAAGGAGACTAGTGGCCTGGCTGTAGGTGGTATAGACAATCAAGCTGGTGGCCTGACTGTATTGTGGTATAGGCGCAAGGAGGCTAGTGACCTGAATGTAGGTGGTATAGACAATCAAGCTGGTGGCCTGACTGTATGTGGTATAGGCAAGGAGGCTAGTGACCTGACTGTATGTGGTATAGGCAAGCAGCTGGTGGCCTGACTGTAGGTGGTATAGGCAAGCAGGCTGGTGGCCTGACTGTGGATGGTATAGGCAAGGAGGCTAATGACCTGACTGTAGGTGGTATAGGCAAGGAGGCTAGTGGCCTGACTGTATGTGGTATAGGCAAGGAGACTAGTAGCCTGAATGTAGGTGGTATAGGCAAGCAGCTTGTGGCCTGACTGTAGGTGGTATAGGCAAGGAGGCTAGTGACCTGACTGTAGGTGGTATAGGCAAGGAGACTAGTAGCCTGAATGTAGGTGGTATAGGCAAGCAGCTTGTGGCCTGACTGTAGGTGGTATAGGCAAGGAGGCTAGTGGCCTGACTGTAGGTGGTATAGGCAAGGAGGCTAGTGACCTGACTGTAGGTGGTATAGGCAAGGAGACTAGTAGCCTGACTGTAGGTGGTATAGGCAAGCAGCGTGTGGCCTGACTGTGGGTGGTATAGGCAAGGAGGCTAGTGACCTGACTGTGGGTGGTATAGGCAAGGAGGCTAGTGGCCTGACTGTAGGTGGTATAGGCAAGGAGGCTAGTGGCCTTTCTGTGGGTGGTATAGGCAAGGAGGCTAGTGGCCTGGCTGTGGGTGGTATAGGCAAGGAGGCTAGTGGCCTTGCTGTGGGTGGTATAGACAAGCAGGCTGGTTCCCTGACTGTAGGTGGTATAGTAAAGCAGCTTGTGGCCTGACTCTGGGAGGTATAGGCAAGCAGGCTTGTGGCCTGGCTGTAGGTGGTATACACAAGCAGGCTGGTGGCATTTTTTTAAAATCAATTTACAATACTTATCAAGCCATCTTATTTCAAATCAGCTGAAGTCTGTCTCACAAATTTAGTAAGGTAAGGACTTAATGATTAATTAGACCATTTTATTGTTATAGGTAGTCGGGCATTGGAAAAAAACAGCTCTACAATCCTTTATAACCACAATAATGGACATGGTAAATGACTCAATACCTAACAGGGTCAATTTGTTAAAAATCAGTGCACTATATGACCTCAAAGTGTTTTTATCAGTTGGTCATCTGATACACCTTCAGTTAAGAAACAAGTAAACTGGGTTGTTTTTTTCTTTCAAGACAGTGAACTACATGTATGTGGTTTTTAGATCATACATTCCACAGCAGATTTTTAGTAATCATTTTTTGTTTCTACATTTTATTCAATATCTGTCTGGCTGATCATCCCCTGATCTCCCCAACATCTATCACTAATGATCAGTTTCATTGTAAACACAGTTCTATTTTTATATACCAGATACACTCCATAATTACTTAATGGTATTTTTGTATTATATGAAATCATATATAACATGCCTGTGGTAAATATTGCTAAATTTTTCATCTTGAGAAGGTAAACTGGTCCAACAACCTTGAAATATATCAAACTTCTAGCCAGTGCTTAGCTTGAATAGAAATTCTAAACTAGATAAAAGAATCCCAAAAACACACCAATCCTGGTTTTCAAAAAATATGTTTAAAACAATTTCCTGCAAATAATTCACGTAATACATGTACACATGTTACATTTTATATAAATTCTACATATAACTCATCAGTGATATAAACTTTGCCACATACAGACAATGTCTTAAAAGTGCTTGACTCAGTCGATATTAAAACAACCTAGCCTAGAGATTGGGGGGTGGGGGGGGGGAGATAATTTTGGAATAATCTAAGTGACTTATTTGTCTGCCACACATTAAAAGTACCAGCCCTACCATGTTTTCTGATATGACAGTATTAATTATTTGTCCAGGATTATTTGTTATGTTATACACCAATTTGAACAACTTTTAGGTCATTTCTTGGTGGTCGGTCAACCTAACCAGATTTCCTACATTATAATTTATAAACTAATCAGTAAAAACCAATTTCTCCACAAGCATCTCTTAAGAAACCGGACATGTCTACAATTTTGTCATACCCAAGCTTAGCTTAAAGTTAAAAGTTTAAATTAAGATTACTATTTACTTAAATGTCTTCAATGCAATTCAAAATATAGTTCTGCACATTAACCGAAGATTTCCAGTTTTCCCCAAAATTTCCTATCTTTTAATTCAATGCCATTCATAATATTATACTGAACCCTAATTTAACATCAGTATTATCAAATCTTAAGAACAAACACACAAAAAAATAAATTTTCAATTTAGTTTTTTAGTTTATATATCTTTGCTGTTTGTTGCAAAATTTTTCATTTTTAAATGCCCCAGTTTTATCTATGGGAAAAAAATCTAAAATTTAAATTAAAGGGCATCAAATGAGCACTTTAAGAATATGTAGTTAGATTGGCATTTTTTGGGGTAATCAAACCTTGGGTACAGTATGATCATAAATTGGGAAATTTTTAAATCGTAATTTGGGCCCCGTTTTTTTTCATTTATTCTAACCATAAAAATATTTTGGGGGCAAGATTTTAAACCCAAAAATAGATTAAAGGGATGTTGGAAAAAATTTTGGGTTTCTTTAAAGGGAAACTTTATGTTTTTGGGGTTTTTAATGTTTTACTATTTAAAGGGGAGAATATATGAAAACCCGGGGGAAAAGCTCACACATTTTTCTTACCCTGTGACATTCACAGCACATATGGCTCAAAATATACGTAGGTATGTAAAAATGATGACCACCTAAACCACTTAGTAGTACACCAATTTCTTTTTTTTTTTTACAGTCTGAAGCAGTGTAACATAAATGGTATATTTCAACAAAGAACAAATAACCAAAAACAAAAGAGGTATTTCTCTGTTATTATTTGCATTTCATTATTCATTTGTATTCAACACCTTAAAAAAAGAAATTTGATTTGAATGAACTCTTATGAAGTGATTGCCTATATTACCAGTATAAAAACAGAACAGAACACACATTTTTCTCTATCTGTACCCAGAACATCATCAAAACAAAAACATAAAAAAGACAGAGCATTTGAAAGCTACTGAGCTTTACAATGGTACAATGTACATGTACTCCAAATTATGTACATATGTATTTTGTAATTGAAATTTCTTTCAAAAGCCTTCAAAAAAATTTTTTTTACACAATTATAAGTTTCAAATTTAGGACAGTAAGTGCATTTATAGATCCAGTCAGTTGCTAAAAAATTTCAGTAAAAAAAATTCAGTAGATACAAGAAAACTTTTATTACTTAATTTACCTCAACAATTTCAATTTTCAGAGTAGAAGTTTAAACAAATCCCAACTTCAAACAGCCTTTATAAATGTCTAATACCTCACTTTCCCCCACTTCATCAAAGGTTCAAGTGCTCTTTGTTCAAACAAGCATTTTAGATTTTTGTGTCGACATGGAACACCTGTGTAAGAAGATCAACGTAAACACCTGTCATGTTTATCAATCTACTCCCTGTCTGTCTATCAGGTTTAAACATCTTTAAGTCTTCAATTAAGTTTATTATGTTTAGTTTATCAAACAGGTGGTTTTCCCTACAATATCATTCAGTGCTTGATTCTGAAAATGATGTAACTATTCAAAGAGTTCTGTATAAGAAATCTAAAAGTCAAAGCTTTTTTTAAACATGGATTCAGTGCAAGATTCTGAAAATGGTGTAACTATACAAAGACTTCTGTATAAGAAATCTAAACTTCAAAAGGTTAAAGCTATTTTTAAACACTTGGGTTATGACCCCAATCAATTTTTATCTACACATACAAAACATCAAAGCCACATGCCTCCAGATGAGTCAGAATATTTCAAGAAAATTCAAACTTTAGAAAAATATTCAAACTTTAGAAAAATGTTCTAAGATTTTAAGAAAAGTGAAAATATTTAACAAATAATTTACATGTTATGTGTGATTAATGACTGATTGTGCAGTTTTTTATCATCATATTTCTACTGTGTGACTATTTTTGCATATTTTGACCACTTTTTAGTAATTTCGTAGATATTGTAAGTGCTGTTTGCAAAAGTGTAAAGTTCCCTTCACAATATATAACTATTATATACAATTTCAAAATTTTCATGAAAATAAGCATAAATCTGGCGGCATGCTGCTTTAAAGTGTACAAAATTATGACAATCTGTTCCAGACACTGAAATGATATTTATTATTTAATGATAACAAAAGTAAATCTTAAGGTGAGTTGATGTAAAAAGATGTGTAGTCTGAAAAAATTCTCCACAATTTGCTATCAACTTTAATAATTATTTTTGTAAACTTCAAAATTGTCAGTATTCAGAATTTCAAATTGACATAATCATTTATTTCAAATATACCCAGAATGCAGATAATTCAATAAAGATCAATTTATTTTTTGTGTTTGTTATAAACATCATAAATAATTTCAATGTCACAACAAAGGACTGGCTTGCCTTTTTGCGGTAGAAAATTGATACATAAATTGTTTAAAATTACATTAAATTGGAAGCCGGTGATGCATGTCAATGGTTACAGAGGATATAAAACAATTCTATATTTCTTTCAATAAATATACTGCTTTAAATGTGTGCCAATTTAACTGTATAATTACAAAAGAAAGACTTTTGTTGTTCTGAAACTTCAATAGTAAATGCTCACATTATATTTCTGAAATAGATTGTTCACCTATTACATAATTATTCTATTTTTCTGAGAGACATCTTGGGCTGATAAATTTCTCCCAATATGCATGCCCTGTCAGCCTTTTGTCTTCAATTTATCAAAATAAACATTCCTTTATCTTTCCCCTGTCCCCTCCCCTCCAAATAAAAATTCCTGAAATCTTAACACTAACAAACTTTTGACCAGCATCCTTTTTCTTCGATTTGCAATTAAACATTCTTTTGGCCTGAAATTTTAATGCTACAAGCATAACCAAACTTAAAGACATGGTCAGTCTGCACATACCTTAGTAACAAGAGTGAAAAGACTTGATAACATTGAAGAATCTTTAAAGGCCTATTATTCCCCAGAAATACTTCTTTTAATTTCTCAAAAGCTTTTTATTTATTGTAATAGCTTCCAAAAAGTTACTCTCGATCAATTTTTACTTCTGTTGCTTTTTGGCAATTAGTACAGTAACTGTTATAGTAATGGTATTTTGTATGGAAGTCAAAATACTACTTTCTTTACGTTTTGCTACTTTTTTAGGACAAAGTTTCACATTTAGCCCTACTTTCTTTTAACTGATAAGCATCTAAAATGCTCTAAAACCATTATTTAAACATTAAAACTCATGTTTGCCCTTTCACATAAAGGATACTCTGAGGTATAATGTGTCTTTAAGATACTATTTACAAACAATCCAATATGGATTAACTACCAATCCAATATGAACAAATGTTCATCCTGCTACAGAAAGTGCTTAGAAAGTACAGTGTAAAATCTTAATTTTGTACTCACCAATATCTTTTAAATTCAATTTTTTAGAATAAAGTGCTTCAAAATAGACTGGATATTTATGCGTTGTCCATCTTTTGAGATAATCTTCCTCTTCTGTAAGAACATTGAACAACTCGGGAATAGGGTCTGACATCACTTCTATAGCACTTGTTTTAAATATACTATCCTCTGGATCAGGATGGGGGCACATATCTGGAAATAAAATAATAGTGATAATTCAATACTACAACATAAACGTAAATGTCAATAAGAGCTGTCGGTATGACAGCATAAGTGCTTGACAGTAAAACAACAGCCTGGATATTAAATGTAAAATTTTCTAAATTCAAAAAGGGCCATATATCTACATGTATAAATATTAAAGTTAGTGTTATAGGTCTTGGATATTGACCTCTTATTATGCTCTCAAATAAGTATGGAAAGTTTCAACCCATTCCTTTTAGTTAATTTGGAGACACCAAGTTGCAAGGAAATTAAAAACTTAACCAGACGCTGATGCCTGGATTAGTACAACAGCTCTACCTATTCTCTGAACAGTTGAGCTAATAAACTACTTAGTTTAAAATTTGTAATGTTGACCCTCATTGGACAGTCACATCAAGCACAAATTGACATTGTTATATGAATATTTTGCTGTCAGATTATTATTGCATCGCGTCATTTTCATTAACCTTTTTTCTTTTTGCAAATAAAGACATCCAACAATTTAAGAACATACAACAATGTCCTCTTGACAAAATCACAAAATTTCAAGCCCATGAAATAGGGTGAATTAAAGGTATATTATCTCCTAGTTATTATCATACATGTATATGACTACTTAAATTTTTTGGTATTAACTTAACACTTGCCATGCCAAATGTTTTTTTAATGGACACGATTTTTATTCTAGACAAAAGTATTCAATAAAATTTCATAATACATGTACATGCAAGTAAAAATCAAAAGCCAACAGTGCAGACCATGATCAGATTCAGACCATACAGGTATGAATATGATCTTGGTCTGCACTAGTCAGATGGGTATAATGACATTTTTACAAAATTTACAATTACATCATATTTTATTTCCACTTTTTCCCCCAAATTGCACAAAGTCAGAGTTTTATCAATCCACCAATACCCTATTTTTCAAAGAATTGTTTAAGAAACCATAATTTTAAAAGTCTTATCTTTTTGATTAGCAAAAGTTGACATTCAAAATGTGCATAATACATAATGTAAACTTTTAAATATCATGATTATGTTACCACAAACAAGGTATATGACTGACATTTATATACAAATGTCATGTTTAGGCTGATACAATAAATGTCACATGGTATAAAAAATCAACAACAAAAACTACAATTTCTCATCATCTGCTTAGTCATATTAAAACAACACAGAGAAAATTAAGAATATTTTTGTTTTTCTTCCCAGCTTATCCTGGGGTACTAACAAACTTTTACCGCTACAAGTTCAAAAATAATTTTAAGAGCATCAAGTTGACTAATCTATTACAAATAGTATTAAAAGCACCATGAAGCTTTTACAATTAAAGCTTGGAAAAAACCCACATTTGCCTAGTTCCGGATAGCAAATATTGTAGAGACAGTATATAAATAACTTTTTACAAGTCTACATCCTGTTATAGCAGGAAAGGTTCAAGTTGAAATAAATAAATTATGCTCCCAAGAAGGGAACATTGAATGAAAGTAACACATCAGGGTATACATTGAATTGTATAGGCTAGCAAGACAGGGTACAGTGAATTTGTTTATATACTATGACTGTATATTAAACTTCTGTCTTATATATATAACATTTGTCCAGAACATGTTTTATTTCAATCATCAATATTAAGATCAACCAGTGGCATATATGTGAGATATATATAGCACAGAGGATTAATTTGTTAAAATGTTAAATTTAGTATGATTGTTATAAATGTAAACATTAGTTTTTGTAAATGTTTTTGGTAATATCATCAATTTGTAATTTGCAAGAAAAAGAAGCAAACACTGGCTGTCAGCACAGACAGGAATATCTAGCTCTCGGGTAAACTGTTTAGCGGAAACTCAGCAGACCCTCCTAACCATCGTAAACAGTTTCCCGCAATATCAAGCTAGGCACTTCCGTCTGTACCGGCAGCCTGTGTAAGATCATTACAATACATGTATACTCACCAACACAGGAGCAGCACTCTGAGTAGAGCTGGGCAAGACAAAGTTGACAGTTACTACAGCATGAACAGTTTTTCTTATCTGACATATCACAGTCGCAACTTTTGATAAGTTGACACTTGCTAACTAGACTGGCACACACCGACTGGTTACAACTTTGTACTATATAGGCCAGGCTGAGTACGCCCAGAAGGCCAATTAGTATCATTAACTTCATATTGTGTCTCCAGAACCTTGCTGTCCTGAAAAAGACATGTTAAAATATGATAAAATGCTACAACCCAAGGTGCTAGCAGTGGTTTTTCTCACTTAAAATTTGGGAAAAGGCCTTAGCCTCTTGATCTTTGGGAAAATTATCATTAAAATTGCTAATTTGGAAAAGTAAGAAAGCTGGGGGAAGTTCTGATTTTCAGGAAAACTGCATGATTTTAACGAAAATTTCAATTGAAAATAGTCCTACAAGGAGCCTGTGTTACATATTGAGGAAAATTACTGTCTAGTCACATTGATTTGACCTAAAATATTAAATATTTTAATCTTATTATTTGTGCTATATTATAATATTGTTTACAACAATATGACAAGAAATTACATTTTTTTTTAATTTATTTAATATACAAAATGTATGGATATTATTATATAGCACAAATAACAAGATTTAACATATTTTAGGTCAAATCAATGTGACTAGCACTTTCGTCTACGAAGAGATTTATCTTAACTTTAAGAGTTTTAAGCAAATTAGTACTTAATTAATACAGAAAACAAGTCTAAAACACTCCTTTGTTTTTTATACATATTTAATAGTTTGTTTGATAAAGATAAACTACTTATATATTATAGAGAAATGTTAGTTATTATAGGTATAGGCCACTGCACTGCCAGTGCTTCTAGTGAAAATATACCACAGTGCTACTATCATGTCAGTTAAAGGTAACTATATTACACGAGAACATGACACCTCATGTTAACTTGTGCTTCACGCAGCTTTTTTCACGCAAAGCACGAGGACGCCTTTAAAGTTCGAGCCCACAGAGCGACTATTATATAAACAGACGTGAGTGTGTCTAACCACTTTGCATTTCAACTGAAGTCAAAACTGCCAAAAATAGAACCCATCCTGGTCTATTCTTTAATTTTAACAAATCGCTTTGTCCATCATTCATCAACTTGTTAATAAAAAGAGAAATAAATTATTTACCTTGCTTCACGATAAAATCACATTCATGTTAGCACAGACGACCTCTCTGTGTATATAAACAGTCTTTGTTTTGTACGAAGTTGATTTAGTTCATACACCTGAACACAGCGCTACCTGTTTAATCTATTAAGAACGATTACTCCCGTGTGTAGGTTACCTGAATAAAACCCATATATTCCCGGTGTATATCCGTACACCACGTGCAGCCGTGCCCGGGGGAATTCTCGTGCTGTAGACGTATATATTATAAATTAATTAAGAACATTTTCCCAATTTCCATCACAAATCAGCCTAAAGACGTTAAAACTCATTTTTACAAGACACAAATGAAACATGCATACAGCATTGAATTTTGCAATGAATTTGCAAATGAATATGATGAACTTTCAATACCAAAAAGCTGGGACAAACAGGTTATTTTGGTCCCAGCAAAAAGATAATCTATAAAAAGCGCTTTGCAATTTCGAGAAAGTTTCCAATTTGTCAGAAAAGTCATTTTCTCGAATGGGTCAAAGAATCTCTTAAACTTTCTCATTGCATAAATTTATCTAAATTTAAATGTGATAAAAATGCGGCAAAATAATTAATCACCAAATCCATATCAAATCCTTACATTCTTGAAGTAAGAAAGTTGCGTCAAAACGTAAAATGGTGGCGCGAAATAAAAAGGGTCACTATACAATTTTTCTTACTTGATTAATTACAAGTTGTTTTACGTACGTAGAGCTTTATTTATATTGAAAAGTGAAATGTCGTCGTCGCCGCCGGCATATTTGGTCCTTTAAAGGTACGATATGTTTCAGAAATGCTTAAATTTATTTTATTTCTCAAAAGTTTCTTATTTTTGAAATATTGGCGTGCAGCTTTAAAGCAATAACTACTTTCCACATGACTTCTCTCGTGTGTAATTATGATTAAAAAAGAACATGGCATTTTTAAATATTTCGTTTTATTTCAAAATTCTAAGATCTTATCATGCAATGGTAATGTTTTCATAGAAAAAAACCCGTTCTGATATAATACACAAAATGAAAATGGCCTATTTTTGTGCAATTCTATATGATATTCATGGCATTTTAAATACAATAAAAATGTATTACGATTTTTTTTCTCCAGAGTTGTAAGATCTTATCATGCAATGTTAATGTATCACTGAAAAAAACTTGGTAAGTTCTGATCTAATAAACAAAATGAAAATGTCCATATATGTGCAATTCTATACTATATTCTTGAAGGGAACCTATTCTTCAAACATCTTTGACTGCTCAAAGGCTGTGATAGTTGCAACATTTTTCTAATTTATGTCTCTTTGAGTTTTTTGATCTAGGAACCGAATCAAACGTATCTCATTCCAGTTAATAGATTGCCATCCATTGTTCAAGAGACCGAGTGACGAATCATTTGATACTGTGACAATAAGAGGATTACTCCGTCAATAGTCTTTTACGTTAAGTGGAGTATCTTCTTGGTAAAAACCAGCCCATAGATTTTCTTCTCCACTATAACGCAATGTTGAAGATATCCGTCTTTCTCGACCTATTACTCTCCGACGGCAGTTTAGCGGGAGAAGATGTCTTTCCGGAACTTCATTTTGATAATCGGTAACTTTTTTGTTTTGTATGTAATATTTTGAAGAAGAAAAATGCCTGTAGAAATAGAAAATGTTTTGGCAGTATGTTTTATTTTTTTGCGATTGTTTTAAAAATGCCTCTTTAAATAAGCAACAGAGTGTGGTATTACTGACCACCCGCTTAGTAATTTGCAAGTTGTTTTACATGTATAATTAGGGATTTCAGTTGATTTTAAATTATCAATACTTATTTTCAGGCGCCCTTCATGCGAAGACGATTGGCTTGTCGATGGCCGGCGAGACCGGCAAAGTCCCGATGTATGTCTGGCCTCTTGCGAACGTCTCTTTATACAGTGACGTTATTGGCACACAAGACGTCATTCATGACAAAGATCAAATATGTTTTATGTTTGTAAATGGACCGGAAGGTTTACCATATTCTGTACTTGACATTGACGATGAGGACAATTCATGCTTCGATGCTAATCTTAAAGGAACAGCGCCACTTCGTGATATGACAATTTCGATGTTTGTATTTCCAGACAACGACGAGGATGATATTAGTGGAACAATGATACATTATCAGTCAGATGATCGTGAAATATTGCGTATTCGGGCTCTCGCGAATACCTTCCTGGTCTCATTTAGAGACGAATACGGTATGAGTGCAGGTATGATGTACCTCGTGAACTTTCTCACACCACGTGCATGGAACCACGTGACGGTATCACGAGTTTTTCCAACAGGAAGAATAATTGTGTACAAAGATGGAGTGGAAATGTACAACCAAGATGACGAATTTTCTGACGTCATCAGTTTTCCACACATCGGAAAACTTCGGATCGGAAAATCCCAAGATCCAGATGACGAGGCAATATTTAATGGGCAATTTGCATGCGTTCAGATATATGATAAAGTGATCGACGAAACCAATCAAAAGGATATTCTAAGTTACTGTAAACCTGAAAACTGGAAGACACAGCATGATTGTAAGTATTTTTTATATTCAATCAAAACAATTAATGTACAATAAAGTGTTTTCTCATGTATATTCAAACGACAAATTTCTTAAAAAACGTAAATGTTGTTTTTATTGAACCAGTGGTACACACCATTTTCATATTAAGCTTTATTATCTTTAAAATTCATTGTACACACTGTGGACGCGGGACCATTTTAAAATCTTGTTCACCAAGGTTAGAGTTTATTACATGCAATTGAAATCAATTAATAAAACAAGGCAAGCCTATTTTTTTCTGGGTAACATATATCTTTTTTTCTCTCGCTATCCCTATCCCGTCCCAGGGGGACTGAGGCCATCACGACATTTGACCATAGAAACTCGGGAATGGGATCGCAGCGCATATTTCCGATCATGTGACGGCTTTTAAAAATATTTCCCTTAATCTTATTATTTCGCATTATCCGAGTGTACGGCCTAAAAGAATATATTAATTAAATCACACGGTCTTTTAGTTTCAAAATCGTCCAAACATGGCGATATCGTAAAATTTTACCGATTTTTGTAATAGCTAATTTTAATAAATTGAGTAGAAGTTCTAAGTTTTGTTTTCCAGCGGATTATCATTTTGGCGTCATTGACTTAATTTCATGTGACCCATGGCTTTGGTTCATTCTTGTTTGGCGAAGTGAGCTATTGATAGAATCTATACAGCTGCTTTTAATTTTTCAGACTATTTCGCACAAAATGACGGAAAATGGTGTTTAGCTGATCGCCCATCCAATGAGGACGTTTCCTTGGTGACCATGACAATTTTGACGCGCGGGTCACTATGGAAACAGTTTCTGCAGCAGAATGATATACAAGACAGTGGTAGGAAGAGCGGTTACTTGAAGCTTTCTTCGCGGGACAAAATACCATCTGTAAACGATGATCTGATTGGCCAATTTAATGTTACAGACACTAAAGTTTGTGTCCGGCTTTGTATGCGCGTGGACAGATGCATGTCCGCGTTTGTTGATGCGCCAGAAACAAATGGAACGCAAAAGTGCGCTATTTATGACGACATACCTACAACGTTTGTTGACCGTCCCGGCGCAAAGTTTTATGTACTAACTGACTAATAGAGATCTAATCAGTTAAAGCGTAAGGCAGAAGAGTATAAAATCAAAATAAAAACAATAAGCCAACAGTAGCATAGGCATTGTTATGTAGCATTTTGTATAAAAACTCTCTTTTTTTCATATTTCTTAGAAGTGTTACCCGAGTAGATAACTCGTGGTATAAAACATATTATTTTTGCATAGAATCTATTTTTCCAAGCCTCTGTCAACAATCATCACTATAGTGTTCAAGCTCAGAATCGGCCAAACTAGTAACTGGTCGACGAGTCACCACAAGAGTTTATTTATTTTAATTTTGGTCAAACTTTCCGAGTTTCAACTCTTACAATTCAAGTGCTCCGATTCTAAGTTTGTTCCTAGAAATTTCAAAGCATATCTTTAAAACAGTTATTAAGGATTTTCCCTCATACTAGTAATATAACCTTAAAATATCTTTATCATTAACATTGTTTCCAGAGGACATTTAGCGTTGAGCTATAAGGAAAAACGTAAGTGACAGCTGCATGTTACAATAAGATTTACTAGCATGTTAACCAATACTGTAGATCAATATCAATGGTAATATTTCTTCAAAGAACTGAACGCCATTCTCTTACATTTCAAGGCAGTGTGCCTACAAATTCATGCAATCTTATTTTATTTCTTATATAAAAATCTTTCCGTCTTTTAGAAATTATTGTCATTTGTACAAATAAAGACTTCAAATACGAGGTATCTAATTTGTATATATACACAAGTACACTCTATTTCCTTTACATGGAACTGCATGTTCAAAAAGCCTGGAAAACCCTGAGAATGTACCAAGATTTAAAGAAAATGTAATAGTTAATACAGTATATATCTTATATGCAATTAATGACTGAGTTTGTGGGTTTATCACTATAATTGTACATATTTTGACCTCTTTTTGGTAATTTACATGGAGTATAAACACAGTTTGCAATAGGTAAATTACTTTGTTTATTTCACAATATTTTACTTTTGAATTCAATTTCATGAAAATAATGAGTCAGGAGGCATGCTGTTTAAAACAAACAGCAACCCGAGCTTAATCCCCTTGCCACTACAATATTGACAAGTGCTGTTATTGACAAGTGCTGCAACAATTTTCATTACTGGCAAGGAAGTAAGATATTTAAAGCACTTTTTAAGTGTATTGAAAAATGTAACGACCAAATCCTTGTTATGCCAGGCCACCTCCAGACAAAGACCATCTTTCTAGATCAAGACATATTATTAAACTTTATCATCTCATATACATTTTACATACAAGTAAAAATTAAATACAATGTTTTGACAGACTCTATTTCTATATAAATTACTGACTTCATGTATAAATGAGTTATGTAATCACAATTAAATTAAATAAATATATAAAAGAAACAGGTATAGTTTTTGATCATTTATTCCATATATATATATTTTTCAAAAAATGAAACATTTACAACATATTGTCATTACAATAATAACATTATTTTATTTGTAAATTATCACAACAGAAAAAATTGCTTCTAAAAAATTGTCCTGAACCTACATATACATTTGAGCCACGTCATGACACAACCAACATGGTGGGTTTGCGACCAGCATGGATCCAGACCAGCCTGCGCATTCGCGCAGTCTGATCAGGATCCATGCTATTCGCTTACCAACTCTATAACAAGTGGAGCAACTGACAACGAACAGCATGGAACCTGATCATACTGCGCAGATGCGCAGGCTGGTCTGGATCCATGCTGGTCGCAAACCCACTATGGTTGGTTGTGTCATGACGTGACTCATTTCTTATTTCATTTAGAATAAAACCAATCAATCAGAAATTCTATTAACATTTTAAATCCTTTATTTTCCATATACAACATGTATAGATAAAAATGCAATTTATCAGAGATAAAGATAACATTTTATCTATGTCTCTGAATTCATTAATGCTTTCTTTCTGCATTTTCTGAAATCTAGTATCATGTGAACAGTTTTTTTTTATCTCAATTATTATCTACTTAATGTTTGGTTTTTTCAACACAAGCAAACTAGTCAAGATAATAAAAAAATTAAGTTTTATCTGACTAAACCAAAAAAATATGAAAATGAAATATAAATCATTTTACTTATAGTCTTATACACTAAAATGTACATCTTATATCCATTTCTGTCAAAATTCCTACTTCACTAAATTAATTCCTGATTACACAAGAACATATAAATTTCTACCCAAAACATTCTTTCTACAATAAACAATAGTAACTAGCACTACTTGTTTTCTGTTATTTTTTAAACATGTGACAGTACAGAAAATTAAAACAATAAGTAATCATAAATTGAATGACACTACCAAACATGAATATTCATCAACTTAGAACTAGGGAGTGAAAACAAGGTGGAATTTATACATATAATCATAAAGTTATATTCACAAACATTATGTAAACATAAACTTATACATAATTTTACCACATATGACATATGCCCTGAATCATGAAATAAAAACTTAAAATTTTCAGTGCACTTTATTATTGCTTATCAGTTAATTGATGGGCATTGTCATAGTATAAAAAAACTCCTCCAGAATGTTAAGAGAAGGTCATGGAAATATCTGGTATTATTTTAGGCATGAACAGGCACCTAATTAGAACCACCGAGCTTCCGTAAGCTAGCTGAACAGCTTCCTAAGATGAAAGAATCAAGATTCAAACCCACAGTGGTGAGAGACAAACTACTTTTGGTTGCAGCAGGTTAAGATTAAATTCTTTAAAGATTTTTATAGTTACTTGTTATCAGGTCTAAAAAAATTAACTTTTTCAAACAATGACTGGATTTCTTACAGAATTATATATATATATATATATATAAACATGTTCATACATTTGTGAAAGATATATACAACAAATAATTGTCAACAATTAAAAAAAATCAGCAATATTCAATTTAACACTGGAATGTTCTTATACTTGAAACTATATTCTTTATTCAATGTACCGCTCTGTAAATGTTACACAGTTCTGTCCTCTATCCAGAACAAAATATTTGTTTATACAGTACGAAACTTACATGACTAGAACATCTCTCTTTTTTTATATAATTATCAAACCTAATTCATGCTAAATATAATAATGGACTTTTCCAGCAATGAATTTAGAGCAGTCCATTTTTATTGTGATAATATTTTGATAACAAGATGCTAAAATTAAACTGCTTACAGTGACACTAGCTTATCAGACTACAAAGATATGTGGGCTGGTTTGGCCCTATACTAGAGCACAGGCAAATTATTATTACACACCCTACACAGGCATGTTAATGTTTTATAAAGTTAACCAAGAACTTGTTGAATATCTTAAATGGACTTGTCCAGCTTCTATTTCTAGAACTGTTCATTATCAATTTTGGTGATTAAATGAAAATCATGCTGAATATCTTAGCCTTCGATTTCTGAAAATGTTAATTATCAATGGTGGGGATTAAATGAAAATTTAAAGTAAGTCAATCAACAGTATAGAGCCTTGTCAGACTTCATGGATGTGCAGGCTTGCCTGGCTCTATACTGGCGGAAAATGGCTAACAATTCTCCCTTCCTGCAGGTTATAAGTTGAATAACGATATGGCATAGAAAAATTTAAAAAGTCATTTAAATTATAGAATAGAAACAATTCATAATTATATACATGTATGTATAAAATATTCTTTTCTTATTTAATTTTACCCATGAAATATGGTACTATATCAGTCAAATATATTTCATATTTTTAAAAATAAATATGAAATATAAATATGAAAGTGGGCGGAGCCAAAACTCATATTTATTTTAAGGGACTTCTTTCGCCGTTTTGTTTGAAAAATCTGATAAATGCAAAACAACTTTTTCTTGAATTTTGTTTTGAAAACTACCTAGCATGATAGGAAAATGGTTCTAAACTAAGAAAATTAAATCCGAACGCCAATATCTTAAATTCAGTAATTAACGCTCTAATCAGACGTTAAAAGAGTTGTTTACATTGACCGTCACAATGTAGCGCCAAACAGCAACGTGCTTACACATAAATTACTGCGCGCTGTACAATTGCAGTTGGTAGCAAAGCAAGGGGATTCCGTTACCATTTTCTTTGATAATGAAATTAAATAAAAAGGTTATTTTTTCGTTTTCCGTGAAATATGGTATATATTTTCACTCAACATGATAAAATGCCACATATTTTCACTCGCCGTACCGGCTCGTGAAAATATGTGGCATTTTATCATGTTTCGTGAAAATATATTCCATATTTCACGCAAACTAAAAAATATCCTCTTAATATATACTCAAATCTTGATCTTTTATGATTCTTGGTCAAAACAAAACTACAGTACTGTTAAAATCATCCAAAACAGAAATGTTGCACTTTTGAAATATAATGCAAATATAAGTATCATTATTTTTTCATTTACCCTGACTAACAACTGGTTTTTGCCATATTTTTCTGTTTTAACAATAATATGATTTTATCACTCTCATTATAAACAAAACAATACACTTTGTATTTATTATATAGCTGAATTGTTTGTATATTTCTAAAGATAAGCACAAACATTATACTTCATATATAATGACACTAAGACTTGCTATAAATAAACTGTGTATAATTTTGTGGATTCTTTTTTTTATATAAACTTTAACATAAACTGATAGAAAATTGTACTGTCACATTATAAATTTCACTGCTAGGATAATGCGCTAGAATATAGGAATATAACTGTCAATTTTGGCACGATGCCTCTGTGCGACACACTCTGCGATCCAGACTATGTTGCGATTTTCCTGCTCCTTCAACTTGACGTATGCGTAGAATACTCCGAACTGAAACTGCATCATGAATGAATTCTTCATCAGCTTCACCTAAAATATAATAATTATCAATTATCTTCTGGTACCTTAGACGAGACCCTGTCCTTAATCCAACACAAAGCTTGTTAACGTCCTTAATTTGACTGAATTGGTAGTGGTAATAAACCTCCCTGTAGCATCACATTCAACATTTTCTAGTACTTGGTATTATGATCAAAGCAAAGTAGAAAAGGGGATACAGATTGGAAGAACTATTTGCCTTCAATAACTGACAAGTTTCATATCAAATTTGAAATGAATACATGAAGAAAATATAGAAGGGAGATAATTAAGCCAAAAATACTTGCAGGGTTATTAGCCTTTCAACAATGCATTCTAATTTTGATAGTTCACAATAATTCTAAGTGAATATCCTAAATAATCTTTGATAGCTTTTGAGAAATTAACCTATCACTGTCTATGATTATCAGGCTGATGAGACATATTTACATGTACCTTACTTTATGTGCAATATGTTATTACTTAATGTGATAAAAGAAACATAAAGTAACAAACAGCCAGCACATCTACACTCTGAATTTTGATCATAACAATGTAAAAACACTTTTTGAATTTCTAAAGGCCATTATAACCAGATAAATATAAATCTGCTACTTTAACTTTTCATACTCTATGAAAATATTTCACCTAAAAACCAAATCAATCATTAGTTGAAATCATCATTGAAATTAAAAAGCCAAACAATTTTTCTTTCTTTCATGACTGCAAAAATAATAATGGTTCAATTCATAGTAGCCATTCCAGCCAATGAACATACTATACGTTTTAGTGCGTAGTCATGTATCTTATTGTTTCTTAATCTTTTATCAATATAAATTGTTTTCCTATAATTCAATACAGCTTATAACAACAATTAGTTTCCACGGTTGTAAGATGTGCTGAAAGCCGACACAGTGTCATTATCACCCTCTTAAATTGACATGTCATTGATTCCCTTTAAGTATTTTTTTACAAAACGGCCAAAATCAAAAATAAAAGTGAAAAATTTTTGATTTTAAATAAAAAAACCCTTTTAACATTAAAATGCCAATTCCCAAAAGGACAATTTTTATCAGTGAGCAAAGCAGTATATTACTAGTGTCTCATCTTTGTATTTCCGGTATTAAACCCTAGCTACAGGTGTTGTCTCTTTAACAACAACAGCATTAATTTTCATCAAAACATAGACACAGTCTTCTGTGAATGTTTATCATGTAACAGCTGTTATAGCTTCAAGAAAGTTATTTTCATTGTTCTATGAGTCTTATCTAGAGCAAAAAAAAAAAATCCAACAAAACCTTGTCTAATAATGGCTTCAAAATAAATTCTCGTTATGAACAAGAACACTGCATGCAGTGTTAATGCTTGTCTGTTGAAAAATTTAAGCTAAAAAATAGGCATATTCCAAAAAAATTGCTTTCAGATTTGTGCCCTTGTCTAACAAAAAAATGCATCTTTTCATGATAAGAAAGTATTCCAAGTTTCATGTTGAGAACTTAAAAATGTTTGAATAATGGGATACATTAAATTTTTTGCACAACAAAAAACAACACATGAGGTAAAAAGGAAAAATGTAGGGCTAAATTTTCATTTTTTTCTTCTTTCATTTTTTTGTGTTTCCATAAATCTTCTTTTTCTCTAAATTAAATAATTTTATATGGGACAACAGCAATATACTCTTTAGAATTACTCAAAAGCTTAACATTAGAGTTGTGAAATCAGTACTTACATTTATCAAACATAATTATATAAACAAAAGGCAATTATTCAATTATACATGCATATATTTATATTTAAACCTTGTTCAAGGAATTGATATCTTGACATTTTTGTTTGTTTAGGTCAATGCAAAGGCCACATCGTAACTTTCCAACTTTTTGATGGAGGGTGACAGAAGGTGCCCATCTGTGCATTATTTCAGGCACAAAGAAGAACCGTAGTAGATACACCGACAGCTTTCTTACATGATATCCACAGCTGCAGGTTGGACTCAAGCCTACTGCAGTGTTGGGAAAATTCTGCAAAGTCAGCAACCTTGAACACTCGGCCAAAGAGGCCCCCATATAGATATATTTATGCTTTTCCGATAATATGAACAGGAAGTTTCTTAGCTATTTGTGTGACAGCTCCAAATTAATTTTTTTTTTAAATCAAAAAATTTTAAGGCAGGAAAAGGTCACACATGTGCAACATTCTTTTTTTTAAATCGAAAAATTTTAAGGCAGGAAAAGGTCACACATGTGCAATGTTTTTTAATAAGTTTTTGCTTTTGGCCATTGTTATTAAGGATGTGATACCTCAATTTCAATGTCAACTTTATTTTGATTCATGAAAACTTTCCATGAAAATTTGAAATTAGGAGTCTTGAAGAAGACTTGTATTGCATAAATACCAATGTTTTCAATGCTATAAGGTGCATTTTAAATCTTGACAATAAAAGCCATATTATAACATCAGAAATATTTTGGACATATTGTATGCTTTATTATACAAATGTAGTTCAAACACATTGCTTTAGCTTAAATTTGTTTCTTTAATAATAGTGTATTTTCAAAGTTACATAACTACCTCATGTTCAAAAAATTTGTCTTCAAGAGTTTTGTCCCCTGGATTGTTCCCGGCACCATCAAACATCTCTTTGTATTCCTATGGGGAAATCAACGGAAAATAATCAGAAACGATAGACAGTCTGACAGTTCAGTTTATCCTAATTTATCATTTTAGTTTTAAAATACAACAAATCACATTTAATGATTCAATGGATCCTATTTGTTAACATAAGAATTCTACAAATGAAATACATGTATCTGTAATGCTGTGCAACAGATAACTTTAAAGTACATGTAATATACATAATATTCCAAATGAAAAGATGAAAATTTTATCCTTTTAAAGCATAAACACTCTTTGAAAATTGAACCTTAATTCAGCATTCCTGTAGGTCCTTTGTGACCATTCCCAAATGTCTAATTTGAATAAGAGAAAGCACAAACTACAATTGTATTTCAGAAGCTGTATTCTGTTTTACTGGACAAGTAAACTTTGCTCTTTTTTATTGACACTATGTATTCATACTATGTTTACTTATAGAGTGTAAGATTTAAAACGAAATATACCTTCTCTGTGTGTACAAAAGATATCTTCATTTACATTTTAAAAGAGACAGAATAGCAATTATCTGTGATTTCAAATATAAAATTTAAGAATAATTTATCTTTCAAAAAAATTATCAAACTGTTGAAATACAAACTCACCCCATAGTATTCAGCGACAGCTCGAACTTGATCTTGATCATCAGCCCGGCCTAGTAAGGTAAGACCATCAGGATACAGTTTTCCGCACCTTGGATACAGTTTGGCACGATCTTCCTTTGATAATTCAGTTCCGAATGAATTGATTGTTATAATAAACGCTCTCCTGTCAGCCTCAAACTAGAAAAAGATATGATAATGTATTTACTGACCATAAATCAAAACTTTTTAAATTTGAAAGTTGACAAAAAAGTTTCCATTTCAGAAGAGGGGCTTCTGTTTCATACTTAAGGATCATTCCTGGAAAGGCTCTCAAGCAGTTTACCAGTACTTGTGCCTTCACTTTTGCAAGGAAATAATAACTTTTGTACATGACAGAGTAGAGGTACAGTGCAAATGACCATAGTACTGATTTCATGATAAATCACAACAAAAGTGACCTGCACTGTCCATGGATCAAACCTGGGTCAAGTTATCAGGATGGTTTGTGAAATTTTTGATTTGGTATGGTTTTGAATTACATGTATGTAGTAAAACAAAAACAGTACAGCTTTGGTCTCAGGCCAGTCTGCACATTGATGCTGTTCAACAAAGTTATAAACTGTTGTCTGTCAAAACTTTCATTTTATCTCTTAAAATAGGTGGTTTCTGAATTGAAGTCGGAAAAGCCTCTCTAAGAATGTCAGCAAGGCTAATTTTTTTGTGGATAGAATACTTATGTTAACATAATATATATCAAAGATAAATCAATGTTATTAACTTACTGCCAGTGCTTCACACATAGCCTCTGCTGTAGCTCCCCCTAACTGCTGACAGAACTGGTGAAAATCTTCCAAATATGCCTACAAAATAAACAATAACATCTTAAATATTGTCTTACAAAATTGTGTTTATATGAAAATCTGTTACTATGGCAACCTTCCTAGCAAAAATGCATTGATAAAAAGAAGAAATTTACAGTCAAAGACAGACAATGTTTTCACACGATAAAACAGAAATGTTTAAGGCATTGTTAACTTAGTATATAGATATTATATATTTTTCAATAATATACTGTGTAACAAAACATTTTATTTCAAGCAGACATGTGTCACTCATTTACAAAGAGTTTGTTACATTAAAGGTCACATGGTAGAATTATACATGTATTTTCAATCCGTATGAGCCTCGAGATGATTATAAGTAACAAGCAAGGTGCTCCAAATGTGCAGAATATTATATAGCATAGATGGTTGCTGTATGACACAACTGAGCAATTTGTAATTACATTTCCAATGATTGTGTTAAGGGTGAAATCTGGCAAAGACTTCACAGAAAATATTTTCACTTCGCCCTATTTGAAAAGCAAAATTCTAGACGCCTAAAAATCTCTATGAAGAAGTCCAACATGTATATATTGCTTCCTTAATCAAAATAGTTTTGAATAAATGTAGCAAATGAGAAATGATGTTTAGCTACAATGTGCTTAAATTAAATTGAAAAAAAAATAGCCCAATGTTATAGATTGATTTTATTAGGATGTTACACATATGCATCACTTCTCCCTAAATTAAAAAAATTCTCCCTATTTTTCCTGAAGGGAGAAGTCAATGCTCCCTAAATTTTCAGTCCAACGTAGTCCCTGCATTTCATTTTAAACAATGTCATGTATTAATATATACCTTGTACAGGGTGTTTCTGATGATTTCAATATGTAATTCATCCAGATCTTGTTCAGAGATACAATCCATGAAATATGGAGCTGCAAATAAACCAAAAACAATATTTTGATACTTTGTCTAATGCCGATCTGTAAAGGATGGTTGATTGCATGGCTAAAAATATTTCCTGGGAAATCCGAATCACAATGAAGGCGAAACAAATACAGTGGCAATCAGATCTACATGCAAGATATAACTTAAGAATATCTGAACTTTAGTCAGATTGCAAAATAACATTACATGCTAAATATCTATACTCTAGGCATTTTAGTTTAGGAGAACATGATTTTTAGAACATTTTTACTATACATTACTCTATGTAAACAAACTGATCCCCAGGGTGGGGATATTCAAAAATACAACGATATGTACAATGTATACCTAGAGGTGTGTCCACAAGCACAGCATTGTAAAGTTCAGCAGGGGTTGTGGCAATGTGAATTGCCTCCATCTGTTCAAAACTACCTAGGGGATGACATTTTGGGATCAATTCATTGATTGGCCGTTGACGTAATGTCCCTGTTATCAGCAGAATTATGTTGTCAATCATATAACTGTACCTATTTTGAAACAATGAAAAGTATGACATAAAAATCTTTACCTATTTTGAAACAATAAAATTTGACATAAGAAACTGTACCTATCTTGAAACAATAAATTTTGACATAAGAATCTGTACCTATTTTTAAACAATAAAATTTGACTTAAGAATCTTTACCTATTTCGATTTTCGAAACAATTAAATGACATAAGAAACTGTACCTATTTTAAAACAATGAAATAAGACATAAAAATCTGTACCTATTTTGAAACAATAAAATTTGACATAAGAATCTGTACCTATTTTGAAACAATAAAACAAGAAATAAGAATCTGTACCTATTTTGAAACAATAAAATTTGACATAAGAATATGTATGGTATTCATTGTTTCAAAAGTACTGTGCCAACGTGTATTTTGAAACAATGAATATGAAATAAAAATATGTACCTAATGTACTACATTGTATTTATTTTACATCCAAAAAATTACTGATAAAATTTAAGTTTCTTAAAGTAGTAATTCTTTTACAATAAACAAATGCTCCTTACAAGGCCTCTTTTGTTTTATCACATATACATCAATTTACTTTACAAAACTTCAATAAATATCAAAGTTGACACCATGGATGTTTGTAGAAAACTTACGTGATATAATCAAGGAATGTTGCCAATGGTTCAAAACAATGGTTCCTCATATGGTTAAACTCAATCACCATTTTCTCCTTCAACTTATCATCAATTGTTGACACTGACAGAGGACTAGGTTCATTGGCCAGAAAGTTTCCATAGTCTGTACTCTGTAGATGCAATTTTAGATCTGTAAAATAAATGAGTTCATTCAAAATTAAAACCATACTTATAAATGTGATACAATTAATGCTTTGATGAATTTTTATAAATCAAGAATCAATATTATTACAAACAGTTCTTTTATGAATGGGTCTCTAAATCAGTAAATGTGACTAAATTAGTCCTATATATAGTCCTATAACATAAGATGTTGCAGTCACAGTGTACATCTTATGTATAGGACTAGTTCGACTTAGTTTACAAACTGATATTACATAGACGTTGGTCTTTAACGAAGGTGGCGCAATAGCTCAGTTGGTTAGACTGTCACTTCTGAGGTCCTGGGTTTGATCCTGGGTAACACCCTTGGGATTTTTCAGAGACCCTTTCAGCGTTTCCCACCTCACTAGAAGTGTACTGGTAAGAAATCCAGGTAATCCTCACATGTATCAGTGCTATACACTGGGCATGTAAAAAGAATCAATGGGTCTTTTCAAATAAGAGCTAGGGACTGGTTCCCGAATTCCCTTGTATCTCATAGCTGTCTCTGAAGTAACTAGTCTAGAGTCATGTCTACGTCCCCGCAAGGCTTTGACATTAATCGAAGATAGAGAGATAGGGCAACCATCGTCTATATAATAAAGAGGCTAAAAAGCCCTGGCATACAAATTTTTGGGCTAACCTGCACAACTCTTATATCTGTGTGATACGAACCTTTGATTAATTAAAAAAATAGCTTACTAAGTACCGGGCACTAGTTCATCGACTGTACATACAACATTATTAGCTAATAAAATGTCAGCTTCAAGATGTGTCCTCATATTGTAAAACAAACCAGGTTTTTTTTCCTTGTTCAAGCATTGAATTATGTTTTGTACAAATTTACATGAATAACCATCAATATTTGTTTTAAATTTTTTAAAATACATTCATGATTTATTTGTACGGTACCAGTTTGATTGATCTACAGTATGGAGCTGTACAGATCTAATAATTTATGCCTTACCCTCCAACGTTTCACACTGGACAAGATTTAAATAGTCGCCTTGTTTTAAGATACCAGATTTTAGAAACCTCTGACCATACCCTCAAGGTAACCATGGTCAATGTTAAAAGATACGTCTTGATACTCCATGATCTAAAATGTTAAGTTAATCAATACAAAAATTAAAATGATAGACAACTTTGTTTTCCTGTCACATGATACTTCTTTATTATTTCCGGAAGAGTATGTAAGGGGCGCAACTCTTGGTATACAGGTGTGCTTAAAAGTGTTTGTTCAAATGCTAATTGCGACTCTTTCATAAATAAAAGAAAGAAAGAAAGAAAAAAAAAGAATAAAGAAAATGCGATATGAGGTCTTCGTTTATTTTATTGGCCTCTCGACTTTTATTACCGATATTATAAATTCTATGTCTCTTCTTACTTTTTATCACATACCCGTGCCTTTTTTGACCGTGCATATATTTTGACGTGACGTTATACAAACACTATGGGTGCGTCATTGAAAAAGTGATGGTTCTAACTGGAAAAAAGTTTTTTTTAACGTATGTGATTAAAAGAATATTATATTCGTTAGGTTTATTACTCAATTTATTGAACTCGTTGTTAGTTTAATCAGGGTCTATTTGAAATACCCTGGTTTAATGATATTTTATTGCATATATAACTCTTTATCAACTCTGACATCAACTCTTTTACATCAACATTATTACACAATATACAATAGGGTTGGGCCGAAAAATTTTGCAACATCATCATGGGCCATCCACTGTTAGAATCTCGCAATTGAATTGATATGGCCTGCCTGAAAGTATAGTTTCATATACAAGTTATTTGCTAATGACACTGTTGTATATGTCACGGTCAACAAAACACGCAAAATACCTAGCACAGAGACGTTGATAGGTTACAAAAAAAAACGGGAAAACACATGGTTAATGGAATATAGCACATAGAAAAAAAGTGCTGTAGTAAACATCACAGGATCCCTGTGGTTAACCAAAATGCCCTGTCCTGTTTTTGTTTGGGGGTCCTCCTGGGTTCCATGCCACTGGCTCTTGTTGCTGGGTCGGGTTGGGGTTGCGTTCATTGAACGCCGCCTTTCCTTGTTGATCTTGTTTATCATATATTATATATCATATTCTATACTGAAAAATTTGTAAGTTATTATAAAAAATCTATGTTTCACGGAACATTCTAACATTCACACTATTTCCCTATCAAACATATAGGGCGATCAATGGAGGATATTGAATGAGTTTAGTTTTAATACTGGATTTATGCGAGCCTCCGGTGAGCATAATATTATTTCTTCATTGAACGAGTTTAATAAGTTTAGTTATGAACCTACACGAATATTATATTCTATTTATCACATACCAGAAAAAAGAACTGTTTTCAGAAGAAATTGAAAATCACATTTTTATCGACGCGTTTATTTAGTGTGACGCTTAAATTTAGCGCGTCTTTAAATTTTGTTAATAAGTTATTATGCAAACGATCTCACGTCACTTGAAATATATGCACAGCCGTACAATACCATTTTTACGGAGTCGCAAAAGCGGCGCGTGTATGTGATAAAGTGCATTATGTACATCACCATATATGCATAGCATAAAAACAAGTGCTTGCACGTCTTTATGTCAAATACATATAATTATAACGTCAATGGACTAAATTATGCCAGAAAAATAACTTCTACACTAAGTGTAGTTCAACATTTTTTATCAATTTTCTTTTCTTTTTTTATAAATGTTATAATTAGAATAGAAATAGATATTAACATTTCTAGCATTATAGTATAATAAGGAATGGTTAACCGTTCAAATGCTTCCGCGCGAGTGCATCGTTGTAGAATAATGACATGTCTGAGTGATTAATTTCAAAACATTGAAACGATCAACCGTGCATTTTTTATATCAATAATAAAAGGTTTTAACTTCATCACGCTGAAAATGTTTACACATGGAAGCTTCATACCTAAATTTTGATTGAATATTCATAGTTTATACATTACGTGGAATTGTTCTTGTTTCACTAGGTAAAAATGTTATGAAATGTTCCGTGAAATAAATAAATAAATAAATAAATAGTACTTGTTTATTACGGCTTTAATTTATATTGAAATGGTATTTATAAATTAAAGCCATGTTTTTTATGTACAGAAGCATTTTTTTTTTCAAGTTTCTCCCACATCATTCATACAAACAAACTCACTATTGTATATAAGTGTTTGTAACGAAACCGGTCTAACTTTTTGGAACCTAAAAGATTTTGTTAAAAAAGCTTTTAAATCAGCGATCCCATAAAACTAATACTATTCAGGAAATTTTTATACTATATACACAAATATTTTTTTTATGCTAAATTTCCTCTTTTTTTTTTAATTTCTCTCCTCCCTTTCTTTTAAACTTTCCAGTAATTGTGATTTTTATAAAACAAAAAACAACCAATTTAACAAAAGAAAAAATTCAACTTAACCGGCCCCTTTCAAAAAGGCAAAACCATTTTTTTCTTTGGAAAAGTTTTCCCCTTTTTTTCTCCTTTTCTTCTTTGCATAACATCTTGAAAACCAAAAATTCCTTTAAAAACCCAGCTCCCTCTGGTTTTTATTTTACTTTCTCTTTTTAAACTATTTTTATTCCAAAATTTTAAAAAAAAAAATTTTTTTTCAACTTCTTCTTTCTCTAAAACTCCTTCTATTTTCCTTTTCCCTCAAAATTTCTTTTTTATACTTAATTAAAATTTTTTTAATCCCTTTTTTTAAAAAATATTTACAATGTTTCCCCTTTTTTTAATCCATTTTTATCCCCCTTTTAATAACTCTACTTTTATTGTCAAAATTTTCTTTTTTAAAAATAATTTAAAAAAAAAAAACTTAAATTAAAAAAAAAACAAAACTCTTTTTCTTTTTACTAAATCTATCAACTTCTAACATAACCCTTTTACATAGGTGTTTTTAAATTTTTTTAAAACTTTTTTTTTATGTTAAATTTTAAAAGTGAATATACATTTAAGCGATTTAGGGTAACCTTTCAAAAAACTCCGGGATGCTTGGGTTTTGTAAATAAAGGCTGCCTAATTTTTTTCAAAAACCTTGACCGGGGGTAAAGTGATTTTAATATTTAAAATAAAAAGGTAAAAACCCCCTTCAAAGCGGATTCACTAAAATTAACATTATTATTTGATTTATTACAGCTATATGTTTCAAATTGAGATGTTGTCATCAGCGATTTATAATTAAATAATAAATTAATGTAAAATAAAAATCGACTGACCGTTTGAATAATATAATTTAAATTTTAGTATATTTGTCGTTTTTATTGTTTTAGTTGTATTGTTTTGGATATTATTAATGTTTGGATATGTTAGAAGAAGAATTCCACATATTTGAGTAGATCTTGTTCAATTTTATTTCATTAATAGCAATACTAGTTGATATGAAATCGGATAAATTAAGTTTCGGATAACTTTAGTCTAGCACGGGATACAAGAAGCTGTAATCTTGCATATACATTTTCATCACCTGTCAGTACGTTTATATTCCTTTATGCCTATACCTTAGTGTCGGAGCTTTGAAACCTAAAACAAATTGTAATGAACTATGCATCATTCCTTTTGAATTTGATTACCACCTTGGTTTATACAGAATTTATTTTAGTTGGATTGTGTAGGAAGCTATAAGCTTATAGACACACTTCTGAATCCGTTCCTGGAACCAACCAGTACTGAGCAATGTGTGTAAAGTTTCTTGCTCAAGGAAACAACGACTTGCCCCTGACGGGGTTTGAACTCATGCGGCTAGCGATCATTGCACCTTGCAATCATTTAAAGTGAATGATTTCCTTTATTTGCTCTATTTTTGTTGTAATAATTAAGCTTTTCTAGTATGATTTCTTTTAACACTCTTCTTAAAGGGTTCTTTTCATATTAAAAAAAGAACACCTTGAAGAAAAGTTTGTATGCCTCATATTCGTATAAGAGGAAGATTTAATGATTTTGAGTTGTGACATTTCTGCCCACGATGATTTGGCTATAGACATCGGCCCATATCCTAGGGACTCAAAGTTTGATTTTGACTTTTCTGTTTTATCTTAATCATTTTTTAGCTCGACTATTCCATAAGAATAAGAAGAGCTATTGCAGTCACCCGAGCGTCGGCGTCCGCGTCGGCGTAACCACTAATGTTAAAGTTTTTGTAATAGTTCAAATATTTTCAAAGTCCATAGACATATGGCTTTGAAACTTTGCACACTTGTTCACCATCATGACCCCAACCTGTAGACAGGAGGAGGTAACTCTATCAAGCATTTTGACAGAATTATGCCCCTTTTTCGACTTAGAATTTACATTAAAGTTTTTGTAATAGTTCAAATTTTTTCAAAGTCCATTGACATATGGCTTTGAAACTTTGCACACTTGTTCACCATCATGCCCCAACCTGTAGACAAGAGGAGGTAACTCCATTAAGCATTTTGACAGAATTATGCCCCTTTTTCGACTTAGAATTTACGTTAAAGTTTTTGTAATAGTTCAAATATTTTCAAAGTCCATTGACATATGGCTTTGAAACTTTGCACACTTGTTCAACATCATGACCCCAACCTGTAAACAGGAGGAGGTAACTCTATCAAGCATTTTGACAGAATTATGCCCCTTTTTCGACTTAGAATTTACGTTAAAGTTTTTGTAATAGTTCAAATATTTTCAAAGTCCATTTACATATGGCTTTGAAACTTTGCACACTTGTTCACCATCATGACCCCAACCTGTAAACAGGAGGAGGTAACTGTATCAAGCATTTTTTTTACTATCAAGCACTAAGAATAGTCGAGCGTTGCTGTCCTACCGACAGCTCTTGTTTCTTTTTCATATGATATTTATGAATTAGAATCTTGTAAAAATTTACTTGTCTGTACAGATTATAGGACAACCTTGGGCAACAGTGATAATTAATGTGATTATTCCCTAGGGCTGGGTATTGATCAGAAATTTCCGATACGATACGCATTGCGATACAGACCAACGATACACAATACGTATTGACGATACAGTACAATGATGCTTCATTGTTAGGATGTACTTATTAAAAGTACTATTTACATTTCATAGATGCCCTGGTGAAATATTATTGAATCTTTCTTATATCTGTTTTAGATTTTGACTTTGTTAATGATGATATATAATACAGAGCAGGTGCATAGGTACCTTAATTAGTACATTTGAGGTAATATTTGAAAATGACATGATGGTCCCTTTTTTAGATAAAACAATTATTTTGAAAAAAAAATTAAAAAGCTTTGTAGAGAAATAATTCAATGCAAAAATATAATTATGTAAATACTAGGAAAAGTTAACGCAGAAAATAATTAAAACATCACTATTTATTATGACAGGAGTCTAGTACTGTCTACAAGTCAACTGTTCTAAATTATAAGATCTTTATGATAAAATCAAATTTTTGTAGAATTTGAAATATATACGCTGAGAAAGTATTGGAACATTGAAAATTTTCTAACAAATCATGTTTTTTCTATCTTAAACGGTAAAATTACAATAAAAATATAAATATCATGTCATGATGTTGTGGTGTCGTAATCCGTAACGTACAGGGAAACGGTGTTTAGCTACATCTTGGCGCAGTCACATTTATTTAGTTAGCAAACTACATCTTGGAAAATCAATAAATTTGTTGGATTTATGTGTTCACAATATGTGTTTAAAAAATTACAAGTAAATGTTTGGTCTAATACAAACTACTGCCGACCTGAAAGTAGTTTTTACCAGTGTTAGAAATAGAAGATTGAATTGCCGGATAAATTTTGACACGGATTTATCCGTCATTTTGTGTTTTGACATATTCGTTGTTCCACCTGAACTAATCAATGCAGCCTTTCAAATATTGATGAGGGCCTTCTTAACATTTACTTTAGAGAAAATTCCACACTTTTGACTTTCGTGCGGACATTTTAAAGACGATAGTTTTAATGTAAAGCCATCATGTTTATAAGTGTTATTAGGTTGTCTCCCTTTGTATCGGTATAGCTAAAACCCGATAACCGTACCGTATTGAAAAACGGAAAATCGATAAATACCGATTTACCGGTATATTGATCCAGCCCTATTATTCCCACAGTCAGGGAAAAGTTTGGAAATTTTAAAATTGGTTGATGAATTTCGAAAATAGCAAAAGTTGGGGAAAATTCTGGGAATTTTATAAGAGATAAGTTTTATTAATTCGCAAACAGGGCATATTTTGGCAACTAACTGAATCAGCCTTTATTAAGAAATCCGCCCCAAGATAAATCTGCCCTTTTTCTGCTAATACTAGTACATAGATGTTTTAAACAAGTAAATAATTACGATGTTCTAAAATTTGACATTGTTGGTCATAGGTTGACTGTTTTACTTTATAACTAAGGTTGCCAAAATCTTGTATATTAATTATTGCAGTTTGCAGAACATTTGTCAAAATTGTATTTGGTAATAGTAACTATAGTATATTGCACTGTTTTTGCACATCATGTCAGGTCATTTATATTTATCTGAGTTTATCAAATAATAATCTATCTATAATTACATAAAATGATAATGGGGTGATAGATAAAAGGAGACCTTGCTCTTAAGGTGGCTTGCTATCTCTAGGAGGAACTCATCATGAATGTTTTGTTGATACTTGTATGTAATACAGTATATGGCATGATTTAGTTTTGAGTGACCTACAGTCATCTTTCTATAAAAAGCTGCAATATGAAATAAACATTTAAAATGTGAATGTGGGTAATGTGTTTTGTATCTTATTTCATTAACATGAATTATCAAAAATATCAATTGAGGAGACTGAAAAATACATGTACATGTATATCCAAATGTATATAATGTTCATTGATAAATATTTTTTTAATTAATCAGATTTGAATAATTATCTAGTTGTCTTTTTTCAATAATTACAGCTGATATTGAACAGGCAGACTGGGGCCGAAAATGCATCGAGATTGCAGAAAATGAAATGCCTGGTTTGATGCAGTTGAGGAAAAAATATGGACCTTCACAGCCTTTGAAGGGAGCGCGTATTGCTGGATGTCTACACATGACAACACAGACAGCCGTCCTCATTGAAACTCTCACAGCTCTTGGTGCAACAGTAAGAATAACAATATTTGAGCCGCGTCACGACAAAACTAACATAATGGGTTTGCAACCAGCATGGATCCAGACCAGCCTGCGCATCCGCGCAGTCTGATCAGGATCCATGCTGTTCGCTATCAGTTTTTCTACTTGTTATACGGTTTGTCAGCTAACAGCATGGATCCTGATCAGACTGTGCAGATGCGCAGGCTGGTCTGGATCCATGCTGGTCGCAAACCCATTATTGACGCTGTTCATTTATATCTGAATCATTAAGAATTTGGTAAAAAGGACATTATGTATTTATATTCTGCCTGAATAAGTAAGTGCTTTGTTATAGGTATGGCATGTTTTATTCAATGCTGCAAAATAATTTATTGTGACAAAAGTTTAGAAATGTATTTAAAACAAGATAAAAATCTCCAAACAAAAAAGAAAACAACAATTTTTGCATAACATTTAAACATAAACATTTAAATAATGAAATTAACATTGAGTAAATGTATTGAATTGTTCCAAGCATTATTTCACGATTGGGAACATTGTGCACTTTTAGAGTAGAATTTGTGCACTTTTAGAGTAGAGTTTTGTCTGTCATGTATTAAATAACCCTTTTAAGTTACATGTAAGGAATATTCTTTTTGGGTATTGTAAAAAATTGACCTAAAAGGTCAAAATTTGCAGCAGTTCTTTCATTACCTCATTTTGTGCAAAAATGTGGTTCATGACTAGGTGTTAAAACAAATTCTTAAATTTTCTTGCTAATGTGATAAATTTAATTCCAGGTTCAATGGTCAAGTTGCAACATTTTCTCCACCCAAGATTTTGCAGCTGCTGCCATTGCTAAAACTGGCGTACCAGTCTACGCATGGAAGGGCGAGACTGACGAGGAATACATGTGGTGTATTGAGCAGGTTAGATAACTTGTTCTTTACTTGATGATTTTTTTTCGAGTACAAAATTATAAACTGGTTTGTTAGTCTACAGAAATTACGTTTCCTGGTCTCCGAACTTACCTTTTTTTTGCCAACCCAAGACTCAATGTACCCTTACTTAACCCTTTCCCTCATGAGCATATTGTGAAAAATGGCCGTTTTCACTGAAAAGCCTCCTGTTACAAGTTCAAACTGCTATGAAACTATGAAAAATGCTTCAATACTAATCAAACTTGGCACAAATGTTGACTGGACCATTGCCTTTGTAACGACATGCTCAGTCTTAAATTTCCTGTTACCATGGCAATGAGGGGACATCTCAAAATTGCCAAAAATCACTATTTTGCCTTGATTTTTTCCATCAAAATTTATTTCAAAGTGCTGCAACTTCTCGGGGGATTAAGATAGAGTCAAAGGCTTTTCAGCATTGGTTACACGTTACCTTATGATCGACCTGGGGTCATTTTTAGCCTCTCACAAGTCCAAAATTTTCTTCGCGATGAGGGGGATTCCGCCCCCTTCAAACCCCCCAAACGGCGCGCTGAAAAAGTGCTCACTTTTTTTAGCAACATTTCTCAATCGAAAACCAGTGTTTGGGGCCCAAATAGGTCATTTTTTCACTATTTCAGGCCTTAAAAAGGGGGGAGGGGTCAAAAGTGCGTTGTTTCGCGTATATATGAGGTAAAGGGTTAAAAGACTTCTTTTCAGGATATATGTAAAATGATAAAAAGTATAAATAATTACTGCCTACCTACTCTCTTTGGATCTGAAATCAGAAACATAACTTGATTATGGCCTTACACATGACTGTAGTGTCAAATCAGCTGCAAAAGAGCAGTTAATAGTTGCAGCTGCTGACTTGTTTAATATTTACTGCTGGGGATATTGCTTTGTATGTTGAAAGGCTGTGAAGCTGTTTTAACTATAAAACCTGTATTGTGTTCTGTCTCCAAAAATACATTAAGCACATATTGTTAATTTTTAGTACTAAACATCAAATGTTCAATATTAAACATAATATTACTCCTAGATCAG